GTTGGTCTCCATTCATTGTGTACCTCCACTGGATTACAACCTATTTGGGATGTGGAGTGAAAAAAAGCATCTCTACTTCTGGTGGGCCTTTTGCTGTTCACAACTTTCTCCAACTCCTTCCAGCTCATTCAGGGAGATGGTTTAAGAATTAGTTCCAGGTGGCAGCATCTGGATTTGCCAGACAAAAGAGATACTTGCCAGGACTGTTAAGATAATGCCCAGAAGGTGGCATGATTCCTATCCTGCCCAAATGTCGACCACAGAATTACCCTGTGGGAAGGGTTCCTTAAGGTAATCAAGTTCCCTATCTTAAAACAATATTTTACTTATCTGCTATTGAGTTATTGACAGTACTTTAGCCCTCCTCTTCAGCTAAAGAGGCTCTGGGAACAGCTTCCTGGGATTGATAATGAGACAGTTCCTGCCCTCAGGATTACAGTTTAAAGGTTATAACACAAAAGGAAAGGGGTTTGTGAAGAGGGAAGGGGAGAAAGTGAGCAAATTCAGGCACAGTTCATAGTTTCAAAACTCTTATAGGTGTTCTTTATTTCAGAAGAGGGTAAAGCAGGATCCCTGCAGCCAATGTAGAATGATCCCAGGAATGAGTAAAGCAAGAAGGGCAAGCAGACTCAGGTCCTAAGTTGGTAAGGGGGCTGAGCTGCATGAGTCCCGCTTATTTTGCTCCAGATGAACATACACCATGTTCAGACATGCTCACTTATGGCATTATTACCAGAAAGCATTGCAGTCAATATTACAATAGACAAAAGTGACAGTGTTTATTAAGAACATGCATTGTCAGTTACCTCTTAATTGTTCTTTTGCCCTTATCCTCAATCCATTTAGTCCCAAGTAGCCCATAATACCAATATAAGAACTTACGCACTTGCCATAAGAAATGAAGTTAATTCACATGTCGCAAAATTCCTATGCTGAAGGCAAAAATGAGCATGCCACAGATGAAAGAATTTGAACATGTGCATAAATCAGCCTTTCCCAACCTAGTGCTCTCCAGGCTTTTAGGATTATGATTTCCATGATCCCTCACCACTGGACATCTGCTGGCTGGGTTGATGGGAGTTGTGGTCCAGAACATCTGGAGGGCACCTGTCTCATAGTGAAAGCAGAGAGATTGCTGGAGGTTCTCGATATGTTACACACAACCTGCATGTAGCACAACCCAAAAGTGTGGCACACCTGTTGTGAGCCTCCCTGCTTTCAACCCCAAAGCACACAACCAGGGTTTTGGTGAAAATAGAGGGGAAGATTATCGAAGATTAGGAAAAACGTACAGAATGGGAAAAGATGCTGGGCACACAACAAGAAGTAGTTTAAAGAGGCAAATTCCTGTGCACAAAGCAATAAACAGTTCAAATAACTAATTGGGAGCAAAGAACAAACAAAATGGAAAAATATCATCTAGCTAGCATAGCACTGTGGCTGTGCTTTCTGATTCTTTAAGATCCACTATATCTGGGACAAGGCTCTCCTGGTGTCTGTAATCAGGACTTCCTCCCTTTGGTTGGGAAAAACTACTCCTAGGCACCTGTCCTGGAGAAAACTTGGGCCACGTTTCCATGTGGCTCCTTGAAGCTCCCTAACTTCCTGGCAGACTTGTTCCTGACAACTGTGCTGGAAGAGAAAGTTCCCCAATGTCCTTTTCCAATGTAATATATCCCCCCTGATCCCTATTTGCCTGGGTAGAGATTTCACAAGAATCTCTTGCTTTAGTCTGAGGCCAGTAATGGCTCATCCTGAGCTCTGAGATGGATGCTAGATTAATCTGTGTTAGAATGCCAGCTTCAGGTGGCCTGGATTTTTGTTTAAGCAGAGACCTGCAGCTGCTTGCTAAACGGAGGTTTCTCCGTCTTGGGGTATTTATTTATTTAGAAAATTTCTATGCCACCCCATTCGCCGAAGCCTCAGGGCGGCTCACAACATGAATCAATTAAAATAATATACGATGAAGTCAGTATGGTCTACCTGAATGGGTTATTCCAGACCAACCATAACATCCTGCTGTCTCAATCTTACTCAAGGTCATCCCACAGGGTTACTAAGGCAGTTGCCAATGTAAAATTCAAGCTGAAGTCTGGCTGAAATAGATCTAGCAAACAGACAATTAGTTTGATAGGCAATTTTATTGTGAAATTTTATGAGGCTTCTAGACATCTTCTATTCATAGCCCTTCTATGTTTTCCCATCGAGCCCCCCCCCCACACACATTTTTTTCAAACCACAGAACATCCATTAAGCAAGGAAAGACAGAATAGATGTTCACTGTCTTTTGAGTGGCAACGTAAGAAGCTCTTTGTCAGAAGGACCTTTGGCCTAAATAGTGAGATATATACTTCCCATTTCGGGTTGTGTTCATGGGTCACCTACCAGTCTGTAAAACGAATGACAGACAGAAGAGGGTGTCCACTGTTTGAAAAATAAAGACTCTAAAACCAGAAGCAGCAATTATAACACCACCATCCCCAGGCCACAATTTAACTCTCAAATCCACATGGACCCCATTCATTTCTACTGCTCTCTATTCAAATTGCAGTGTCACCCATCCAGCACAAACAATCAGCACTCACTTCGGCTGATGATGGTCTCTGTAAGTCATGGAGATCATCCTATCCCCTTCAGTTTGGTTCTGTAGTATCCACTAGCATCATAATCACCTGCTTTCACCCCACTTACCTCCTTGTCCAACTGCCTTATTCCAGCTCTTTCTTTCAGCTGCACGTACAAAGTCAATGTAAGTGCTTCTGAATCCAGCAGAATACATTAGATACACACACCCTGTGGAGATGAGCAACAGCTAGGAATTATAAGCTGCACCCCTCACCCAAATAAGCTTGTAGATAGTGGACATGACTATAGTGCAATCCTGTACAAATTTACTCAGAATCTGTAATTCCCACTATGCAATGGGACCAACCAATGATCAACAAGCCCTTAGCAGGCATCTGCTGTGTCTTTAACACAGATCTCCTCTCCAGTCATTAACAGCAAGCCACTGGGAGAGAGACGCCAAACTAATATTTTTCATTGCTCTATTCACTGCCCTACCACTAAAACCATTAAAGTGGGGCAGCACTAGAGACAGGGTCCTGGCAGTGATGATCTGTACCCTATGGAATTTCCTTCTAAGAAACAGAGACTAGCTTAGCCTTCACCAACCTGGTGCCATCCAGATGTTTTGGACTTCAATTACCACCAGCCCTAGTTAGCATGACTCTTGGTCAGAAATTCTGGGCTGTAATCCAAAACATCTAGAAGATTGAGGAAGGGTATGAAAAGGAAGACCAAATATAAGATGTTTTGAAGCCATAAAGAAAGCCACAGCCTGAAACTTGGAGGAGCTGAATGGATCTATTATAGACAGGACATTTTGGAGGGCTTTCATTCATATGGTTGCCATATGTCGGAGACAACTTGATGGCACATAAGAATGACAATCCAGTTTCATCTGTGGCTGCTTTGAGGACATACTTGCTTTCTCTGGATTTTAACTCAAACAGTTCGTTGGATGGTATTTGCTTAAGCAATCTCAAGACATTGGTCCGTAATTTCATCCCATCCATTGTACTGCATGTTTGGCATTCAGGAAAAAGACATGCTAAGAAAATACAAGACAATCATGAATAACATTTATGTTATTTATTGAATAAATCTGCCTTCCCCAACCTAGTACTGTCCAGGTGTTTGTTGTTAGGCGCCCTCCAGTTGCCTCCAACTTATGCCCTCCAAAATATCCTGTGCTTGACAGCCCTGTTCATTTCTTATAAACTCAAGGCTGTGGCTTCCTTTATGGAATGTATACATCTCATAGTTGGTCTTTTTCCTCTTCTGCCTTTCACTTTCCCTAGTATTATGGTATTTTCCAGTTAGTCTTGCATTCTCATGGCATGCCCAAAGTTTGACAGCTTCAATTCTGTCATTTTTTGGTTTGATTTGTTCTAGGTCACACTTCTTTTGCCTGTCCAGAGTATTTGCAAATTGGTATTTCCACACCATGTTTCGAATGCATGGGAATATAAAACTGCCATCATCCAGTACTGTCAACAGCCAAAGGGGCAGAGATGATGGAAGTTACAATCCAACACATCTTGATGATGCCGCTTGGGGAATATTGGTATAAATAGAAGACTTCTACCACATAACTAGTATAACTGGAAAATGTCCTTGCAAACCCTCCTCCATGGATGAGACAGGGTGATTCCACCAGAGGCCTGGAACAACCGCCCTCTTCTATGTGCAATCTTCCCACCATTTCTTTCTCTTTTTCTTGCATAACAAAAACAAACCAATTCAGGAAGCAAAACCCAAAGAGCTATGCCTTAAAGAGCGATCCTATACATATTTAGAAAGAAAAAAGGCCCACAATTCCCAGCATGCCCCAGACAACTGTGTTGCTTGGGGCATGCTAGGAGCTGTAAGGTCCTTCTTCAGTCCAACAGTCCTCTCCGGGCTGTTAAATGAAAGGAGCCCACTTTCTTGAAGCGCCTAGTGCTGAGGCAGCTGATTAGAAAGACAACGAAATAGCAAGGAACAGACAAAGCCCTTGCACTCCTAGTACTACGGAAGGATCTGGTGCTGTCATGGCAACGCTGCCCCGCTGCATTTTGGGAGGTGTTTTCCGAAGAAGGGCCGAGATTGCCCCTGCGGCCGGTCCATGGGGAAACCCCGTACCGTAGACACTCGAACCGAGCCGTGGCGAAACGCCATTAAGCTCTCGCGCCAAGCAAAGCGAGGAGCTGTGGTTGCTATGGCAACCACAGGAGCGCGCCTTCATTCCTGAAAACACGATTTCCACTTTCCACAGAAAAAGGAAACTGCGGAGAGTCTATCTATGACCAACACCCCCTTTTCTCGTCTTTATATCTGTAAGGTGTTAAAGTTTTTTTTCAACCGCGGCTCCTCAGGTGCAGAGCCCAAAATGGCGGACGGGCTAACATCAAGGAGAGCCTGCGCGGTGACGTCAGCACGCCCTCTCCGCCCCCAACCCGGAAGTGCGTCTCCTGCTGTGGGCAGAGCGGCGGCGGGGCGGCTTGCTCGGTAGCGGCTTTCCGTCCGCTGTGGGCGGCCATGGCGGCAGCCGCCGAGCTGCAGGCGAAGTACCAGAAGCTGGCGCAGGAGTACTCCAAGGTACCGGGGCACGCTACCTCCGCTCGGTACAGAGGACCCCCCCAACGGTGCCCCCTCATAACGATATTCCCCCTCCCCCTTTCGCCTCCTCTCTGAGGGACCATGGTGAGGGCGGATTTTCTCGATATGGGATCCCTGCAGGGTCCGTAATTTTTCTCCTGCTCCAGTCTGCCGGTTCCTTCCTTGCTGGTCTCTGGGAGGTCAAGGCGCCTCCCTGTCTGAGGCATGTTGCTGCCCTGTAGGATTTCTGGCATTTGGAGGAGTTGACATGACGGGCTTCCCGCGTTTGTTCGGAATTTCGAGTTCTTACGGTCCCTCGCTCTGCTTTCTTACTTTATTTACGTAACCTACCTCACAGGGTTGTTGTGAGGATAAAATGGAGAGGCGGAGAAGGTCCATGAAAGTCGCCTTGGGTTCCATGCAAGAAGAAAAAAATAGGCTAAAATAATAGTGATTATGATTATTTGTTAAATTTTGAGATGCTTTTCTCTAAATAAAAAGACTCAAAAACGTCTTACTCTAGGGTGAATGGGCCATCATGGCTCATTGGAAAAGTGTATACCTTCCATGCAGAATGTCCAAAATTCAGTCCCTGGCATCTCAGGTAGGAAAGAGAAAAAAGGACCAGATAGTAGGAGGTGAGAAAAACCTCTGTTTGAGAAAGGGGAGTGCTGCTGCTGTTCCTGGGACAGTAGGCTAGATGAACCTGAAGTCTGATCTGCTACAAGGCAGTTCCTTATGTGTGTGAAAGAAAAGAGCATTTGCAAATCCACATGGTGAGGGAAGACAGTGCAGGGTCTACAGTAAGGGTCAGCATCTGATCATTTGGCCCCATTGCAAAATTTAGCCGTTTGGTGCATATCCTTCTGAATTGTCAATCTAAAACTGAAAGATTGTTGTAGATGGTGCAGCCTTCCTGCCTCAACACCTGTTAGCCCCAATACATCTGGAGGGTGCTGGCTTGGGGGAGACTCGCCTGCATCATTGGCCATGTTGGCTGGTGCTAGTGGGAGTTGTCCAACGCTAGGTGTTTGCTGTCTGCATAGCTGTGTTCCTGTACTCCCTTTGCTGATGACATAGAGGGAAACACAGACAATATTTTCTGTTTTGTGTACCAGGCCAAAAATCTACACTCTGCTGTCCAAGCCATCCCTCCCTGCTAGTATGCAGAGCTAATACTGTTGTTTCCCATGAAGCAGATGCAGGCTGTACTACAACTTGCAGTACTTATTCTTGTGTTTGTGGACACCTTAGTGAAAAGGGCTAACACTGTTTCATCCCTTAAGAATATGACTTGTAGCATCTTAAAGGCACAACAATGTATTATGGCTTAAATGTCTGTCAACTAGCATTGTCTATTACCATTGAAAGAAGAAATCTCAGTTACAGTGCTCATACGGATTATGTGGTTGAAGCTGATACTGCCTGATACTGTAGTCTTCCTCTTACAATAGGCTGGGCAGTTCTAAGAGTGATACCAGCAGCTGAATGTTGTTCATGAAATATATATTTCTATATAATTCCTAGTATCGGTTTTCAAAGTTGTCTGAGGTGTGTAGTCATACATGTGTGTGCACACACACACAGGGGGTAGCGTGTTGGGTTGGGACTCAGGAGATCCAGGTTCTATTTCCCACTCAGCCATTAAGCTCGCTGCACAACTTTAAGTCCAGTCACTGACTCTTTGCTGAGCCTATTTCATTCACAAAATTGCTGTGGGGATAAAATAGTGACCCTCCTTGGGGGAAAAGTGGTGGGATATAAATGTAATGATAAATAATTTTTAGAGACAGCATGATACAGTGCTGAACTGGTTCTAAGAAGATCTGGGTTCTGGTTTTTACTAGAAGCTCACGGTATCACTTTGGACCAGTCATGGATGCTCAACCCAGTCTATCTCACAGGGTTGTTGTAAGGATAGAATGCAGGGGAGGAAGTCTTTTGGAACACCTTGAAATGCTTGGAAGAAGAAAAAAAATGTGGAATATAAATAGAATGTAATATATTTTAGGTGATTTCTCCTTTTACTTAATTTATCAAGTTTTGGTACTGATATTGATCTTCTGCTGTGAGGAATTGATCCATTTTTGGGTGATTTTCAAAATCCGACTGTTTTTCTCCTTTCTCCTGTCAATTAGCACACATCTGCTTATATCATATAATGCCAAATTGACAATGCCCTCTGAGCAAGTAAGAATAAAAGTTAAAAACCACTTACCTATATGCATATGCACATGCCAGCATGTGACATATATTGATAGAAAGTGACACCTCTTTTGAGTGAAGTGGTTGCTTTGCACTTTATATAATTATGTGCGCTGTGGTAGTGACCAGTTCTAGCTGTTGGCAGTAATGGTGTCTTAATTTTCTTTCCTATAATAAGTGCTCTGACTTGCCTGTAGCATTGTGTTGAATGACCTGCTAACCTGTGATATTAACTGTATTCTTGATGTGGTAGGATGCTAATTATTCCTTTTATATATTATCCCATAATGTATTCTTAAATACAGAGCTTCTCAATGCCTTACCTGTAGGGACTTCCAACTGCCTGCATGAAACTCTCCTTTCCCTGCCCTTTAAAAACATAGTCTTAAGAAAAGCCTTGAGTAATACTTTGACAATCTTCTTTCCTCCGTATTGAAATTCTAGCTTTGCCTTTTTTCTCCCCTCTGCTCCTTTGCCTTGCTATTCCCACCTCTCTCCCAGCCTCTAGCCTTGCTGTTTCTCTCACTTCTTGTCCTCTTCTGTTCACTGTTGACTAGCCAGGCTCCCACATGATGTGACTAACCAAGTTCCCTGTACGTAAGAGCCATTTTGTGGGGGTGCCCACAGCAGTTTCTTCAATTCCTAGATGTGCTAATGGTCCAAACAGATTGGGAGCCCCTGCCTTAATGCTTCCTACATGAAAGTCTTCTCCTTTATTACAACGACGTGGAAGAGAACATGGCAGTGCTGAGTGAAGACAGCCGGCTGCCCTTTACACTGTGTTCTTGTAGGGGTAGCAACTTGCCATTCAATGAGGGAGACATACCTCTGCAGGGGTAATGTGGGCTTCAGGTGTGAATATAGGGGCATTCTGCAACAGATTTGAATGAGTTTAGATTTCTATGAATCTGACCTATGGATTATGCAATGGAATGACTCTTAAGAGTTGCTAATACTAGGCAGTTTGTGGCAGGTTTTTTACTTTCAAGGAGGACTTGTAGAAATGCAAACTGGGATTAAATTCTAAGACATATATAAGAAAGAATTATATCAATGAATAGATGATAGAATAAGAGATACCTGACAATCCACAGAACAAGGTAGAATGGGTTTAACAAAACCTGTACTTAGAAGTGATGGACTTTCTTGTACCAAAGCTGTAACATGTACTTCTGGTACAAAGAGAATACAGGCTGTCTCCAAGTTATGAGGCCAAGTTATGAACAACCTGTACTTATGAACAAACTGCCATAAAGCCTGTTTTTAAAAAATACTGTGGAAAATCGCCATCACCATAGAGAGGGAGTGAGCATGAGGGGAGAGTGAGGGTCTTCAAAGTATCACAACAGAGGGAGAGGAAGTGAAAGGGGAGAGAGGGTAACCTTTAAATCAGGTCTTCCTGCCCCACCCATCCAGAGAAGGAAATCTCTCTGGCGTTTCCCTGTTGTAAAGAGGAGGCATAGTGAGTTTGGGTGGGACAGGGCTAGAGATATTTGTGGTTTTTCCACTTTTACAGGGGTCCTGTACCCCAACCCTTGTGAATGTAGAGAGCCAACTATATATGATCCAACTCACATACAAATTCGACTTAGAGATGAATGTCTATTTTCTCAGGAATGGAACTTGTCCATAACCCAAGAACTATCTGTATGAAGAAGCACCATTTTGTGCTATACGCTGTGTTATAATCAGAAAAAAAACAGTACTACCATAGCAGAATCAGTAATTACACTCTTGCCCATCCCATCTGTAAGGCTTAGAATTTAAGAGCTTATTTATTACTGCCAGTCAAACTTGTTGAAAATAAACAATAAAATTTTATGTATTTAAAACATTCTTAGAACACAGTTTGAAAAATCACTCTCTAATAAGTAGTTGTGTTGTTCCTGGATCCTTTGCTTCAAAATTGCTGCCTGAGACCTTCTCTGTTCCATTCCTCCCCAAATCTCCATAAAGTCAATATTGCCACAGATTTTATAGATAAAAGTATTTTAGGAACCACAATCAGGTTTATACAATATGTTTTATGTTTCAACTTGGCAACGTCTTTCACATTTTGAAGGGCTTAGATGGTGAAATCAAATTTTCCAAGGTTTAAATTTCATTTAGATTCTTTATTAAATTCCTATTATAGTCTTCATGCTTTTTGGTGGTCCTCAAAATGTATTTAATATTGTCCTAAAGGCAGGTACAAGATTTTGCTGGTAGATAATGATTAGCTTGTAACCTGATTGCTTTATAACTGGGCTAATGATTTCTCCTGTGATTGAATGTCTGTCTCTTTCTCTTAGCTTCGAGCTCAGAACCATGTACTGAAAAAGGGTGTTGTGGATGAGCAAGCAAATTCAGCAGCCCTGAAGGTAAGCCCTTAAAACAGTAAAGTGAAAGTTTGATGCTGATACTGGCTGCTGGATTAGATGATCAAACATTTCTGTTGAGCGTTGGCTTACGTCTCTCTGCTAAATAAATGTACATGCAGTGGCAAACTGGAGTTGGCTGCAATGTAATGTGTGAAACATTCTGGAGCTTAGAAATGAACTCACTGCAGCACTTGTTGGTAGAAGCTTGCAAAAACTTATCTGTGCATTTGTTGCAGATAAAATTTTATTGTTGGCAGCTGATGGTGAAGCTCAGACAGGGTTCACAGGTTGTAGAACCTCACAAATCTGATCTTTCTGGGGTCCCTAGAAGATCATATGCTTTTCCCTCCATTTACTGGTTGTGGGTTTCCCAGTTTTGTGCATTTTCCTTGTATTCTAGAAAGCTGAAAAGTATTTCTTTAAGCTAAAATGTGTTGGCAATTTTAATAGTTTTGACCACTCCCCATTTGCTTCTGGCCCTGCATCCTGTGCAGTGTGGCCCTACAGATCTATTCTGAAATGGATTTTGACCCCTGGGCTTGAAAAGGGCTTGCACTCCTAGGCTAAGAGAAACAAGCCTTCCCTTCTATCACCTCTGCTGCTAGAGAATCACTTACTGTCAGTTGCAGGAGGGTCAAAACCCCACCTTTGCTTTCCAGCACTGTTGAAAGAACAACAAGAAAATGCTCTAAGTATCTGTTAAGAATAATTTTTCATATAGTGATTATTTTGTCTGCACTGAATTGTTGTAACTAGTTTGTGAAGTGCTCATTTTCTGACTTGCCTTCAAAGCGTGAATAGAGTGAAATGCCTTCAGTTCACAGATCATATGTTCAACAGTGTCACCTAGTTTTTTTAAGGTGGGATCCTTTCCTAACTCTCTAAAGCATTGCAAGAAAATTATATAGATGGAGGGGCTAGATAAAAACTATGTTTGCCCAGCCTCACTTGTAGGATCCCTTACCCTTTTTAATGTGTGTAAATGGCATAACCTGGAACAGTGTAGGATGCATATCTATAATTTACTTCTAGGTCAGTATTGCTAGGATAATCCAAGGAGCTGGAAATCTCTTATTGGTAGTTAGAAGTTCTTATTCAAAAGAAAAGAAAACCCAAACCCCAAAAGCCTTTTTAAAAAATAAATTTGTGCTGGGCATTCCTCTAGAAAATTGAATTAACCAGTAGAGCTGGAAAAATATTTCAAATAGTATATATTATGCCTATTCCAAGTCAGTACTGAACTGCTGAGTTTTCCTGTTGCATATAAATGTATGTTGTGGGAATAAATTAAAAATCTTACATTGTGAGTGCAAAAAGGAAGCAATTGGCTCTTAAATGTCATAAGTGTATTCCTGTCTATACCCTGCTATGTTGATCCTGGCTAGAGGGACAAAGTGCTGAAGTTATGATATTTTGAATAAGTGACTGAGGGAGAAGGAGGTTTGAAGACTACCTCCTGCCTTGCCAAAGTCAGTCCATGCTAGAACCTAGTGTGGTGATCTTTCTGATGTTAAACACAGGAACAACTAAAAATGAAGGACCAGTCACTCAGAAAGTTGCAGCAAGAAATGGACAGTTTGACCTTTCGCAATCAACAGCTGGCTAAGAGGGTAGAGCTGCTTCAAGATGAACTTGCATTAAGTGAATCGAAAGGAAAGAACAAGAAGGTAGGCATCAGACTAGACGAATGTACAGAAAGGACCGATTAAAATGATCCAGGAGCTTGAAGAATTTGGCTATGCAGAAAGAGTACAGTGTTTGGGGCTTTTCATCTTGTGAAGAAAAGGTATGTGAGAGGAGTATGTGATAGAGGTTTATAAATAATATATGGTGTGGATAAAGTGGGTAGAGAAACTTTTCTTCCTCTCTCATGCTAGAAGCTAGAGAACTCCATGAAGATGAATGGTGGCTAAAGGAAGTACTTCTGTTAATTCATTCATAATCTCACCTTTGCCCATTTCTGCTGTATAGATAGGCCTGTGGTCTTATCCAGCAGGGCTGTTCTTGTGTTCCTAACGTAGGTAAAGCTTTCTGTAAAGCTCCACTTGCCAAACTTCTGACAGTTCAAGCATAGCCTCAGTAAAAGCAAGTTTTGCTTCTGGATTTGCTCCCTGACCCGTGCAGAGACTCATGCAGGGTCACTGGATACACAGAATTGCCCATCTCCAACGAATTCTGGTTGGAAGGAGGTAAGGCAGAACAGGGATTCATGCAGTTGGCAACCTCCTCTACAGATGGGTGGTATGGGATTACCAAACCTTTTGCTGGTGAGGCTGCAATAACTCCATGCCGACTGGGATGGGAGGGTGGGAGTTTGAGCTGGTCAGCAGCAGTTTACATAGTGTGACTTCTGAGTAAACCTTGCATAGGATTGCTGGGTGGATGCATTCACTTCTTTGGTGGATGATGCTTGGTGATGGTAACTGGTCCATGATCATCCATGAGGCATTTTTCCAATGCGGCGGCTGCTCTTCTTCCTTGCTGTCACCATTCTTACCTGCTCCCTTTGGGCTAAAGGAAGAGAGCAAATAGGCAAGGGGATGGCAACTTCTGATGCCACATTACCCAGATCTCCCAGTTACCACTCGAATGCCTCAGTTGTCTTCTCTTCTTTTATTGAGTGCAGTCCTATGCATGTCTGCTCAACTACTTACTCACGGGTATGTGTTTGTCCCTGTGCCTACCAAGGAATTCAGCCTGAGGGATAACATTTCTTATCCGTTGGCACCTAAAATGCCCTGCTTATTTATTAAAATTACACTGCACACTTCCTTTGAAGAGCTCTCAGGACTATGCAATGGTTGCTTCCTCGATGGCCTCCTTCCTCAGCAGTGGCTAGCGCCAGACTCCCTTAGGTAAGCTGTGGCAGGCCACTTGATGTCTTCCAAATGTTTTGGGCTACAATTCCCATTGGTTCCAATTGTCACGGATTATGGAAGCACACCAAGTTGTTTAACCTGGCTGAATCCATTAAATGCCACAATGTTCCTTCTGACCATTTATTTTACTGTGTAAGTACAGAAGCATAGATTGTCGGGTTTATCGGAGACAGTTTATAGTACATTTCCTGTTGGTCATTAAATTGCTATTGCTAACATGTTTGCTAGAATCAGCAATGCAGTATAAGAGGAAGAAGCAGGCCAGGCACTGCCCACAAGCTTCTGTGCTGCACAGTGAGGAAGTGAGAGTTGAATGAAATCCTGACTATAGTCAACCGTGAAGGAAATTAAAAAGGAGCAGTCAGGATAGTGGGGTTTTCTTAGAGAAAGCATGGATGATGTGGAGGAGCACTGGAACTGGGCCAGGGAGAGATGTGTTCATATCTTTGAATCTTTGTGGGTATCGTATATCAGCCCTGTCTGTTCAGAGAAGATCTGGTGTTGAATTGTAGGTAAGAGAGGTAGCTATGAATCAGGATGTGCTTGATTTGAACCTCATCTGTGCTGTGAACTCACTAGGGGTCTTAGGCAAGCCATTATTTCTTAGCCTCAGGTTTCTGTGTCTACTCTATGAAGATAACTAATAATGACTTTACTGTCCAGGGATACCATCCAGGGATGCTGCTGTACCATCCAGGGATGCTGCATTTGAAATGCTTTAAAAACTTGAACACATTGTGCAAATGTTAATAGTATTGTTAGCTCAGTATTAGAACACATGCTTTTCATGCAAAAGTTTCCAAATTCATTCTCGGGTGCCTTTATGTAGGGTGAGAAAAACTCCTGTCATTGAAACCCTGGAAGAATTGGAACTAGGTCAGGCCAAGGGTCTGACTTCAGTATATGTTAACTTCCCATGTTTCTGCTTAATAAGGTAAAATAAGGTAGTCCAGTGTACCTCAGTTTCATCTCTTTGCAGGAGGAGCAGGATGCTAATGTAATGATTAAGAATGTCTGAATTTGCGAGAAAGGTCTGCCAGCTTCATGGTCCTGTGCTACTTCCACAGGGCCTGGGAAACCATTATGGAGAACCTATGTGGTGCAATGGTTAGAGTGTTGGCTTGGGGTTCAGGAGGTCTGAGTTCGAGTTGCACTTGGCCATGAAGCTCACTAGGCCAGTCACTGATTCTCAGCCTAACCTGCTTCACAAGGTTGTTATGAGGATAAAAGGGAAAACTGGAGAAGGATGATGTAAGCTGCTCTTCGTTCATTGTATGAGAAAGGTGGTTTATAAATATAACAAATATTATTCATCACTTCCCACTAATTTACAATACAGAAATACATGACTAATATACACCATACTCAGCATGATGATATAAAAATACCATAAAAATGTAATCTAAGAATAATGCAATACAGAAAGTGTTTATTAGCAAATGCACAAACTCTTCCTTCCTCACAGCCTAGAATGAATACCATGAAAGCAGTTCACACAGTTGGGCCATAATATTAATAGCAATAAGCCTAATAATTGGTCAGTGTAAGAGAGAAAGAAGCAAGCCGGGCACTGCCCACAAGCCTCCAGATGTTTCTGTACTACACAGTGAGGAAGTGAGAGATGAACAAAATCCTGGCCATTGCTGAGGTTTTAACTGGCCTGCTTAAAAGCATCTAGTAGGTTCGTGGTTAAGGTGAAATTTAAACTAGTGACTGACACTGCTCAAAACATTCTACTACTTCTTCACAGAAATAGTAACTGTGAAGAAATCCAAATAACAGAAGAGAAAGCAGATCCAATATTTTGTTCACAGGAGCTCTTTTATGCAGTAGTCTGTAAGTGCCGTCAGTAAGCAGAAATACCTTTGTTTCCTATTAGAAAAGTGGTGAACCTGTATCTCAGTTGAGTCAAGAACAGAAAAATGTATTTGATGAAGACCTTCAGAAGAAGATAGAAGAGAATGAGCGGTTGCATATTCAGGTGTGTACTTTGGCAGTGTGTAAGTTGCTTAATTTCCTTGATCAGAGTGGTAAATCTTCTAAAACAATATACAGACCTGGTTCACAGGTAGCAGCTTGTTGTTGTTACATACCATCAGTTCATCTCTGACTTACGGTGTCCCTATGAATGAATGCCTTCCAAAATGTGGTGTTCTCGGCAGCCTTGCTCAGCTCTTCTAAGTTCAAGACTACGGCTTCCATAATGGAATGCATCCATCTCATAGTTTGTCTTCCTCCTCCTCTACTTCTGTCTTTGACTTTCTCTAGCATTATGGTCTTCTCCAGTGAGTCTTGTCTTCTGCTATGCCTGAAGCATGACAGGTTCAGTTTTGACATTTTTGCTTCTAGGGAAATCTCTGGCTTGATTTGATTTAGGACTCACTTGTTTGGTTTTTTCTCAGTCTAGGATATTTGCAAAGCTCTCCTCCTACACCACAAAACAACCTGTCCCAGTCCCTCAGCACTTCATTCTGCACTTCTTCCTAAAGAGATGCACCTGCTCCCATTTTATCTTCACATTAACCCTGCAGTAAAGCTGAATTACAGCAACTGGCCCAAGATCACATGGAGAGCTTTGCAGTGGAGTCTGGGGGGTGGGGGTTGAACCTAGATATTCCCCATCCAGTGTGTTTAGCCTAGCAACCCACTTGCTTTACTCTCAGCACTACAGCTAACAACGTCTGGTATTTCCTTTTTTTTAAAAGTAGTAGTACACCGCATTTGCCCAGTTCCAGAAGGCTACCCTGTCCAAAAGCAGAATTCCCCTGTTCTGTCACTGCATTTGTCTGGTTCTGGATTGGGATTTGAATCAACTTAATAGTGTGGGGAGGTTGCGGGACAAAATCTCAAATGCTGCGTTTGTGCCATAGTGAAGGGAAACGTGGTGAAAAAGCATGCAAGCAATGTGGCAGGTAATGTGATACATAAGTTAATGCTCTGTATTTTGATAAATTGTCCCTGTGTTTCAGGGTTTCAGTATTAGGTCAGGGTGCACTCAGATTTGACCTGGGAGATCTGTTATCAGGATCTAACATGGTGTTTACAAAGGGAATAAGCAAGGGGGATGGTGGTGCACATGCATATTCCCCCTATGGCAGGGGTCTCAAACTTGCGGCCCGCAAGCCAGTTGCCAGGATGGGCGGGGCACAGGGGAGGGGCCCTGCGGCCTTCAAAGCGCCGGCGGTGCCCGGGCCGGCCTCCGGGAGCCACGCGGGATGAGCGGCCCACCACCACCGCTTGATGCGGCCCAGCCTCACCCAGACTCTACTTCCAGCGGCCCCCAGGTAAGTTGAGTTTGAGACCCCTGCCCTATGGCAAATGATTTTATCTGGGAAACATGCTAATGCACTCTTCCTTACTGCTGTAGTCCCTATCTGTTTATTTAATTTTTGCAGAAAAACTCTTCCAGGAAATTATCACTGCTACTTCTGCCTGTGGACCAGTTACAGGGTGGTCCTTGGTGCTAAGCCAAGCCTCTGGGTAACATTCCATGGCAACTTCTCATTACCACCCTTCTCATTTTAGTTTTTTGAGGCAAATGAGCAACACAAGCGCTTGGAAACTGAGCTGAGGAGCAGACTTGAAGTCTTGGAGATGGAGGCTGCGCAACACCAAGCTGTGGTGGATGGCCTCACTCGGAAGTACATGGATACAATAGAAAAACTGCAAAATGATAAAGCTAAGCTAGAAGTAAGTTTCCCAGCTAGGCGTTCCATGTCATGGTTCTCTGGCCACAAAGGCCAATCTGACTCTTGCAGTGGCTGCATTCTGATGATCTTATATCAGCCTTTTAAGCTGAGAAATGAACAAGCGTCTAGTATCTGCATGCAACCTCTTTTCTTTTTGCATGAGTTGCTAAACAAGGCTCTAGTAAACTACTGTCATGTAAATCAGGAAACCTTCCAAATAGGCCAAGTTATGAAGTCAGCTTTACCCCATGGCATCATATGCTGGTTGTTCAGAAACCATCATCTGGTTTGAATGTAACAAGAAGCTATTGTTAATTGAAGACTTCCTGTATTGTTCATTAAGAATGGAGGAGTGAAGTGGCTTTGTGAGGGCTCACAAGACTTTCATATTTTGCTTCTTAAGAGATAGAAGTCTGTCAGGACATTGATACTGTTTGCCCTTTGGTGAATGATAAAAACCTAGCTTTTTCAATTAGCAGTCTTTGCAAGTTGGATGATCATTTTAATTAAGGGTCTGTTTTTAAGAACTTACCCGGTTGTTATTTATTGTTTCAATGGCAGTTATTGTTAGTTTCTAGCATTCAGCATAGGTTTGCATGTTGTTTTTGACAGTATTGCAGCTTATACATTCTTAAGATAGCAAAACACACTCAATCTTGATGTGCAATGGATTGTGCAAATAGTTATTGACAACCTTACTCTTCCTTTTCCCACTCCCTTTTAGATCAAATCTCAGACCTTGGAGAGGGAAGCCAAGGACTGCAGGGTTCGAACAGAAGAATGGTATGCTTTTCTTTTTTTTTTAAAGGACGTAATTTTATTGAGGTGTATCTGGAGAAGGTTCCGATACTAAAACTATATGAGTGTGGTGTAGTGGTTAAGTGTGCTTAGGAGATTTAAGTACTGGGACTTGGGAGACTTATGAGATCTGGATTCTAGTTCCAGTTCTAAAATAACTATTAGTGCTTCTTAGAGTGTCTGTCAGACACAGACATAAATTGTAACCTTGTGCAGAGTTAGTTCTATGGCCTATGTTGCTCATTAGACACATGGGTTCTGAAGTTTCAGGGAGTGGCAGCTTCAGAGGGCCAGTTTGGTATTGTGATTAGTGCACTGAACTGGGACTTGGGAAATTTGGATTCTAGTCTTCATTTGGCTGTGAAGCTCACAAGGTGATGTTTTTGCCAATTACTGACTCTCAACCTAATTTATCTGTTGTGAAGGTAAAATGGCGAGAAAGACAATGTAAGCTACCTCAGGTTCCTTGTGGGGGTGTGGGGGGAGCAGGGTGGAGAGTATTCATTGCCTTGAAGGAGCAGGTTTATAGCTTGAGGGAGTTCCTTAAGGCATAATGTCACTTGAGGCCCAGGTGGTTTCCGTGGCTTGTAGTGCCTTCTACCAGCTTTGGCTAGTGGCCCAGCTATGCTGCTATTGCGACAGAGATCGCCTGCTATCAGTGATCTATTTTCTGATAATCTCTAAATTAGGTAACTACGATGTACTCTATCTGGGGCTGCCGTTGAAGACTGTTCAGAAGTTGCAGCTTCTGCAAAATGAGACAGCCAGATTAGTAACAGGGACCAGATGGTCTGAGCATTTAATACCAATTGTGGCCTGCTTGCACTGGCTGCCTGTATGATTCTGAGCCCAATCGAAGATGCTGATTTTAATCTGTAAAGCCCTCCGTGGCATGGGACCACAAAAACCAATGGGATGCCTCACCTACCCACAATCTGCTGAGACACTGATCAAGACCTGGGGCCCAGCTTCATTTGTCACCTCCAAGAGAGGCTTGGTTGGCAACAACAAGAAGGGCCTTTTCAGTGGTGATCCCTTGATTATGGGACATCCTCCCTACTACAACCTGTCTGGTGCCAACCTTACTATCCTTTCAGGGCCAGGTTAGGTCTGCCCTCCAGTGCTGGCCATTTAATTAGTTTACTGGGCCTTTGTTAGCTGCTTGAATTGATCTTATGATTCAATTTGGATAAGCTATTATAACTCTTTTATATGTTTTAAATTTGGGTTTAATTTTTTCATATGATAATGTTTTATGATGTTTTTAATGCTGTGTGTATTTTATATTGTATTTGTGTGTGTCACTGTAAGCTGTCCAAAGAGTTTTGGCTATTGTGTGGTATAGAATATGTGCATGTATTTATTTAATACATACAATAATAAAGATAAAATACTCTGTAGGAAAGGAGTGGAGAATGTGTGTTGCTTTGGACTGCAACTCTTATCAGCTCTAGCCAGCATAGCCAACAGTAGACATGCTGTAGCTGCATGTACAGTTCAGAAAGGTGCTTATAAGGAAGTTAGGTCAAGTACCTGTGCATGACAAAGTATTGTTGGTAATGTGTGAGCACTACACTTAAAACAATGGTATGTGCACTACATGTATGTTTGACAGCTGCTACTGCTCCTGGTGTGCATACAGATGTGGAAAGGTGCAAAGAAGACATAGCACTGTTTCATAGACTCCACCTTTGTTTCCAGGGCACTGGCATCATGATGCATACTGAGGGCCCAAATTAGCTCAGAACTTATAAAGTTGATTAGGTGGCAGTGGAGACATTGTTAAAGATGGTTAAAAGCCTGTTTTCTTTCCAGAGGCTTACATATGTGCAATTTACAAAAATGAAAGGAGGTTCGATGACAATATAGTTAGGATTAGGCTGAAATCTTCATGTTCATAGAAAAGATACCAAAACAGTTAAAATGAATTCAAATTTAAGTTTGATTTAAAACCTTCATTGATTTCCCATTAATATAAACAATGAAAATGTGTTGCTTGTCACATATGCATTTGTGGCCTTTTGCTTTGTAGTTGTGATGCTTTGGAATGTTCCTAAATATTCTAACTGCTGAGGGAAAAGGTCACTCAAGGGATGTTGATAGTGCATCAATTATGTGGCTGTTGGAGTTACATCTCTAGTAAATGTCTTTGACATTCTGCTTTTTTATTTTTCAGCTTCTTAAAAAAAGAAAAGCAAAACTAATAGTCAATATTGTTGTCTTCTTCTTATCACCAGCCAGCAGCAGCTAAAGAATCTTCATACTGACTTGAGTAGCAGATTAGAGGAGTCTTTGCACATCATCAGTGACAAAGTACCTTTCAATGACACAAGTAGGTATTTCATTGATTTTGCTCTTTGTTAAAGGAACAAAATTTAGAAGACTGTAGCAATGAGAATGTTCTGTCCTATTCCCCACAGATTAACTTAATTTTGCTCAATCTTGAACTACAGTTCAGAGGGCCAGAGCTATTTTTGCTAAGGAACATGGAACTTCCACTGAAAACAGCAACCCTGTGTTGACTTCCATTTCCCTCTTTCCATAATGGATAGAACATCCTACCATATATTGTGATGTAATTAATTTCTCCACCTCTACCAACCAGTGATGTAGGACATGGGTTCAAGTCTACTGTAAGTGCATGAAGAGATAGGGTAAACCGTACTTGGGATAAAACCTCAGGGATGGGGCACGTGGCAGGAGGCTACCATATATGGAATGTATGTTGGGTTCCGTATAACCATGTCTCCCCTATGCATAGTCCTTTGAGAACATATGTAAGGTAGCAATGCTGCTTTTAAGACAATCACATGCAAGAAGGTGCAGGAAGTACAACTACTTGAGGATGACTGTGAGCACTGTAGATACAGAATGTGATACTGTCCCTTTTTTGTAACCCAGAAAGCATACTCCTCTCCCCTTCCTTTTGTGCAGTTCCAGGTGTATGTCAAACAGAAGTCCTGAATCGCTTGCTTATCTGCTGTAACTTCTTGTTTGAATAGCTGAAGCTGTCCTTGATTTCAGATCTTTGTGATTGAACAGGGACACCACTGAGACAGATAAACTATGCACCCCATCATACATAGGCGGGATGGCCTTGCTGGACAGGAGGGGATGAGAGCTGCTGTCCAACATATCTGGAAAGCTCCAGTTTGGGGAAGGCTGCTCTGAAATCAGAAGTGTCTCCAGAAGTTGAGTGTCTCCACCTAGGGTGGCTGGGGTGCTAGGAGTTGTAGCAAAAGCATGAGGAGGGCTATCATGGGTTGCCTGCTGCTGTCGTACGTTCAGATTGTCAAGGGCAGGTGTTCACAGTAGGTGCCCCTCTACTGGCCACTGAGGTGCCAGCTTCACTTGTGCCTTGCATTCCTCACATAGCTCAGTCCCCTGTGCTTCTCAGCCACCCTCTGCTGGAGGAGTGAAGGAGACTGAGGTGGCTTCTCTCCTCCTTGACGGAGGCACTGGGCAGAGGAGCACTCTCTGCCTCGCACCACAGCTGGAGGCCTGGCTTTAGGGCATGAAGTTTTTCCCTGGCCAGGGAATGGCTGTACATACAGGAGCCTGCCTGGCCAAGGTGCCAGGTGGAAATTTCCAGCCCATGCCTCTGAGGTGAGCTTGCATATGGTGAGTTCCTGCTGTTATCACTGACCAGTCAGTGATCCTCTCTGATCCTCTCTCCACTAGTCTCCCCAAGTCCCATTCCGCATTCTGGGGACAGGACTTGCCAAGGGTACCCAAGCCTCCATGGGCTGGATGGGAAACCTGCATGGCTGCCTTCACCTCATGGGATGGAGGTTCTCCTTGGGGTGTTTGAAGTGTCTTTTCTGTATGGCACATCCATCTACCAATGTCTCATTTGAACTTTTAGCCTGTATGCTTTCAAGTATCCAGAATAGGTATTGGCAGTTCTGCTTGGAAATGTTATTTTCCTGTTCTTGAATGGCTTGTCATCTATTAAATTAAGGGGGAGGATTAGAGGGGAAAATAATATACCTGAATACCTTAAATTATTTTTTAGGGTGCAGCCAGTATAATGCCCTGAATGTGCCATTACATAATAGACGACGACAGGTGAGTAAAACTGCAATGCTAAGTCTCAAATTTCGTGGCATCTTGTGTGTAAAGTTATGAGCTAGTGTAGCTCTAATGTTGATTCCCATATAATTAGGTCTAAGAATACATGAATTCAGATGGCCATTTATATATTGAAACAAATAAATGTGCTTTGGTATTGACATGCTACTTAGTTGCATTTAAAATGGGAGCTGGGGTTTAGAGTCCAGGAAGGGAGCTGCTGCAAGGCAGGGCCATTTAATACCACAGCTGGCACAAAATCCCTCCACCCAATTTTGGATAACTCTGTGTGCTCTGTAGCCCATGCAACTTAGCTCCCACTCTTCAGGAGTATCAGGGGCTGTGGGATTGAGGCAGGGAAGAGGAAGATTGGTTGTTTGAGCTGCTCTCCATTTTTGCAACCATTGCATATGGTCCTCTGAGTAGCTTTAATACTGCTCAAAATTACTGATAAGCACCAACATTTCTTTTGCTACAGCTGTACTGAAGGCCATATATTTCACTTCCCCAACTGAATAGCCTTTGCAGTAGCAAGGGCCTCTGTTGTATTTGTAATTTCAGTTTATTTAGTAAGGAGTATGTTGTGAAAGGCCCCTAGTAAAACAGAAACTGAAGTCCCTCAAAGTAACGCTGCTACTCTTTGTACCTTGCAGTTGAAGCTTCGTGACCTGGCTGGTCAAGCACTGGGCTTCGTTCAAGATTTGGTGACCGCCCTTCTGAATTTCCACACCTATACAGAACAGCGCGTCCAGATTTTTCCGATTGATTCTGCCACTGACACTATATCACCCTTAAATCAGAAGGTCAGCTGACTTGGGATGAACTTTAACCAGTTAGCTTAAAGTGAACCAGTGATAAATCTGCTACATGTCAGCTGGCTACATCTTTTTAGAGTGGACAGGATTTCGCTATTAATAACCCTTTTGTAACAATGAGAGCAGAAGAGCTGTTCTGTGAGAGTAGCAATTCTCCCACTTTGTATATGGAAGATTCCAAGTTCAATTGCTGTCAGGTGGCAAGCGGCTGAGGGACACCAGCCTGAGCCCCTGGAAAGCTGCTGTCAGACATAATGGTTTGTTCTTGGTATCAAACAATTTCATATGTTCAGTGCCAAGAGTCCCCCGCAATCCCCCTCCCACAGATTGCAGTATTTGAGTACCAGCCTGCTCTTCACTGGGATTATAAATTTCTTCAAGTGTTCCACCCTTTTTTGGCCTGGCAGGATGGAGGCTTGGAGAGAGAAACTTTTCAGCGATGACCCTTTGGAGCAGGGGTCCTCAAACTTTTTCAACGGGGCCAGTTGAAAGGCGGTGGTGGTGGGCACGGGCCGGTGAGGCGGCAGATGTGGCCATGACGAGGGAACAAATGTGGTGATGACCTTGCAATCAGCATCAACTGGAATGACTGACAAATCTTTCTTCATTCAGTTCTCACAGTACCTCCATGAAAATGCATCCTTTGTTCGTCCTCTGGAGGAAGGAATGGTACACGTATTTGAGAGCATCACGGAGGACACCGTCACAGTGCTGGTAATGTGATTATCCTGTTGTCACACTCCCTGTCCAGAACAGGTTGGTACTCAATCTCTGAAACAGTTTCATTTTCTCTTCAAAGGAAACAACTGTGAAATTGAAATCCTTTTCTGACTACTTAGCATCTTATGTCTGCTTTCTCAGGAAGATTCTTCCTTATCAATTAAAAAGGTATTTTCCCCTATTGACCTCTTGATTGGGATGTGTAACATGATGCACAATTTATCATGTAATGTTCAAGTTCTGACGGTATCTGAAAACAATGCCATGGGCTTTTGAGTATTTTCATAGGAGTCTATACCATGAAAAACTTTTAGGGTAGCCATTCTCAATGTTTTTATAGTAACTGTCATTATTTACCCGAAGGGCCTTTTTTCTATGTCCCATCATGATCTCTTAACTTGAGCTGGGGGAATAACCTAACAGGCAGGATAGAAGATCTTTTAAATACTTGGAATTTTTTTTGCATTATATTTCTGTAGTGTTTGAGGGCTTCTCTATATGCATGGGTCATCTTTTCCATGGGAATTTGTCAATGCCTGTCTTGAGCATCTTCTTAGAAAAGTTAAAATATAGAGCTTTCCAATGTTAATTCAGCCATAATTTTCTTTAAAACTTCTACAAATGCTTTCTGCTGTAAAGTATTCAAGGTGATGGAGACTTTCCAAGTGTTCCATTGTTTAAGGGCTATAAAATGACTTAAGTTAAATCCAGGTGATCAGGCAGCAGCATTTAACTAACTAATTTATATTGAAGTATATATATTACTAAAGCATTGATTTAGATTCCTTTTTGACATGCTGAAGGAAGTGTGAGGACTTAAGCAAAAGCTACCACTCAGTGACCCATGCATTGCAAATAGGACCCATGGGTTAAACAATCCATGGGCTTTTCATGTGGGAACACATTGCTGCTTACAAACCTACCAATTCTACTTTAATTAGCAACCTACAATCAGCCTTTCATTGGTTGATTAGCATGTCATGCACACCCAGATCAATTGGTTGTTTAGGGGCTCAATTACCCATCAGCTAGCTTGTGATTTGTAGTTGTACTAACCATTGATCTGAGCTTGCAGGTTATACTCAGCAACCTATGAATTGGCCAAGCATACACAGTTGTTTAAAAATGGAAGTAGTTCTCTTCTGCTCATCCTCAACAGCCCATAGGTTGTTTAATGCATTTATTTATTTATTTGATTTGTGACCTGCCGCATTAGCCACATAGCTCCCTGAGTGGGCTATCATTACATGTGAACTGGCCCATTGAAGAAACCTTTAATATTTTCTTCCAAATTACCTATTACAGTAGCATACCACACTGAAAACAACCCTTCAATCATGGGTCAACTGATATAAAGTTTGCCTCATCAAATATGATTGTTCTCCTCTGATGTATTAACTACAGAGGAATGACAGTTCCACCTAACAAGCCAAATACAGTTTGCAGCTGTCAGTCAAAGCCCGATTTATTTGACCTGAGGTTTTCTGCAGCTTGAGTAAAACCAACAGAAGCAGATGATTCCAACGGCATTCCTGAGTTGGCAGCCAAATGGAAGCTTCTACCTTTTGCCATTTGCTGTAGTGCAAGAAATCTACTTCCAAATACCCCCAGTTTCTTACTGGCTTGTACAGACCATGTTTTTAAGGTTACTTGGAGTACAGAGAGCTTGCAGGCAAACTCGTGTGGAATGCCAGGAATGCATTTGCAGCATTCATTTACTTAAGTATCCTATGCTTCAGCTCAAAAAGGGTCCCAGAGCAGCTTACCAATCCATCAGTAAAAAGCAGGAACTTTCAATCTAAAAAGCCTTATTCTTCCTTTCAAAGATGTTGGGAGGGAAAGAGCAACAAATACACAAATATTAACAATGCATTTGATTCTGGAATATAGATTTAGGGTTGCCATCTTTTGTACTTGTCCAGAAGATTTGTTAGCTCTGTCCATGCTAGCTGGTCCGCCTGCATGAATTGGGGAGGCTGGTCTGAAATGGGGAGTTTGTTCTACAGGTGTAGGTTTATTAGGCAAATTGGAGCCAGCAGACTATAGAGCAGGCTTCCTGCTTCAGACCCACAGTGCAGTGGAGTGGTGTGGGGACAGTACTGGCAAACAGCCTCAGTCTTCCTATTAGTTGGGATGCTAATAGGCTGCATAACACTTGAACTGGGTCAAGGGGAGGTATGAGCAGCAAGAGAACACCGGCCCTGTACCCAGTTTCATGGCTGCAAAACACTGGAGTACTGAAAGCACATCATTTGTGGCCAGAGGTGACTTCTAACAGCAAAGGAACAATCAAAGTATGTTCTTTAAAGTCAATTCTTTGCCAGTCTCAAAGAATCCCCAGGAAGCTTCTTATATATTGCTTTTCCAGAAATGTAGAAAAGTGTCCTACAGTGTTTTTTTATATTTTCCAAAAATCAAATCATGTTGTTTAAAACAAAAACAAACCACCAGCACTGCTACAATACTCACTCCTAAAAACATAAATTCATATGTTCCTAGTTTGGAAGAAGAGTGTGAATCTTCTCTTTGCACAGCTGCGTTAAGAGCCAGGAACCTGGAGCTCCAAAGTGACATGAAAAAGCTGACAGCGGTTTTTGAGAAGCTGCACACATATATTAGCCTCCTTGCCTTACCCAGTAAGTATTTGGTTGCTGGCAATGGCAGTTCAGCATGATGTATGAAATGTTGATTTTGCAGGGCAGAAAATGGATGTTAAGGTAGGCATGTATCAAATGTAAAAGGGAAACTGTAATATAGATAAATAGATCTTGAAAGGCTATCTCTTACCTCAGCATTGCAATTATTCTTTAACTGTAATTATAAGCTATTGAACATGCAGTCCTGCGAACAATTTGAATGAGAGAATTTCTAGTTATGTTTAACAGGGATGGTCTGAAACTACAGCTGTATTGGAATTTTCCTTCAAATGGGCATTATGTTTTTTAAAAAGTTTTTAAAGGAGACCATTTCCCCAAATTGCAGTGAGTTTTTGTTTTGGCTATTTTGCTCTCTCAAGCACTTTCATTTCTGCTTTATACATAAAAATTGTCTAATCTCTCAATAAAACATCCCGAGAGAGGTTGATATTGCAGAGGTTAATGTGCTTTTGAAGAGCTTGGAGCAAACCTTGTGATGCAAGGAATTCTTTTAAACAAATTACACTTTATGCAGGTTAGTGCAAATTGCTGGGTTTGGGGCAAGTGTTCCTTCTCAAATGAAATCCCATCTTAGATGCTTAGAAGTGAATGTTTTAGACTTCGTGAAGATTTTTAAAAATACGTTTGGAAAAGGGAAAGTGTACTATCCCTCTCTAAAGTCAGTGATCTTTAATGAGGTGGGCTGTGTTCTGCCATTATGTGGCAGTCACTTGAAGAGCAAACTTGCCTGCTGGGATTGGCCTTTTGTGTAAAATGAGGGGGATGCAAAAGAGCTGGTTAGCCTGAGCAGGCACCAGGCAAATGGTCCATGCAGCTTACCTGCTGATTGGCTCCAGTATGCCTGAGCGTGATGGCCTTTTTACCTCTTTTCATGTGGGTATGAATGCAGCTGAACCAAGGCAGTCATATACTGTTCCATCCAGCTTTGGTGTCTCCCTGATGCCCTGGCCTAAACATTCCATGAAACGGAAGTGGAACACCTTCCATAATGTTGTGAGCTGCCCCGAGGCTTCGGCGAATGGGGCGGCATAGAAATGTTTTAATAAATAATAAATAAAATATAGCTCATCAGCTGACAGGCCTTCAGGAATATATCCTGAGTGAATCCCCTCTCATACAAAATGTAGAACGACACTGGTTGATAGATCCGTGCTGCTTAATTTGCTCTATACTGGGAACATTTAGGTTGGAAGAGCCTTTTATGGGCTCATACTTTTTATGGGCTCTTCCAGACCCCTGTGTGTTTTCCCCTTTAAACAGAATTCCCTTAAATTCTTGATTTGGTATCTGTATCATGAAGATAAGAATGAAAACAGTGGCATATAATAGGACAGTGGTTGAAAAATATTAAAGATTACCTTTAAATGCATTTTATTGGCATTTTCATAATTTGATAGGCATCAGTAATGATTCTTGTCTGCTTCTCCCACCATCCCAGATCAAAAATCCCTGCTCGACTAGAAAAATGAAATTGTTATGAAGTTCAGTTTAGCACTGCCGTGGATCTAATGCATATAGATTTTCCCTCTGTTTTGGAATGGGGAAAGTGGAGAATCATTGAGTGCAAGCTATTTCTTTTTTGGACTGCCTGCTCATGCCTTTTGACTAAGCCAGGCTTATGGATTGCTTTGAAGAAAATACTTGTTAGCTTGTCTAACCATATCTTTTTGGCAAATTTCTTTCTCCTCTTTTTTTTCCAAGACTAGTCATTGAATTTCAGTTTGTTGTTCTTCATTCAACCTCTAGGCACAAAACCAGATCGGTTGCTTCGAACAAATTTCATCTCGGTGTTCACATACATTGCTTCAACTCTTCATGGATTTCATGATGTCATGAAAGGTGCAGTCAACCAATATGGAGCTTATTCAATTAAACTGACAAGCTCATGTTCTAGTTATGTAGTAATTTCTGGGATTAGGGAATAGTGGGTGACTTTATAGACATAAGGGCATTGTGCATGTTCAACCAAGGCCAAGGGTGTTGATCTCTTTCAGCCTTTGGGCTGAATTCCATTTCAGAGAAGTTCTCCTGCATTCCAGGTGTGCGTGGGTCAAAGGCAAAATGGGCAAGGCCAAAACACAAAAACCACCAGTATACTTTGCTTAAAGATCCTACTGCCAGTAACTAAGCTTTAGGAGAAGAATTTCAACCTTTGGGAAGTGGGGAAAGCTGCAAAAGCTAGGAAATCATCTGGAGATGGCCAATCCAGATAAAAGTAGTGGGCTCAAGGGAAGGCATATGGCCCCTGGACTAACTCCATAGTGTTAGACTGGGACCCTGAATTGGCCAGATTTGGCCCATCAGCCTGAGGGTCAGCACTCCTGTTCGAGGTCACCACTGAGTTAAAGTTAACCTAAGCAATGGTAGAGTATCAGTGCTGTGAATTTTGGGGATTTGGAATAGCTGCCAATTTACTTGGTGCACATTCCATCACCTTATTTGGTTAAATCTTCAAGGAGCTCAAAAATAAGTGGTCAGATGTCTGAATGAAGGAGCTGCCTTGTTGGCACATTTGCTGGTGTTCCATTCTGCAGTGACATCCTTCCACTTGAAGCACTGTCAGCAATAGCACCGACTTCTGAAAAGACGTCCGTAGGGGTGTGGTAGGCCTGTGTGCCCAACTGAAGCAAGCTAATTTCTCCTGTAGATATTTACAAGCACTACAGTCAGAAAGCCGCCTTGGAACATGAACTGCCCACAGCCACACAAAAGCTCATCACCACCAATGACTGCATTTTATCATCTGTCGGAGCATTAACTAATGGAGCAGGCAAGGTAACTTCTCTTCCTACTTGGAGTAATAGTGGCGCCTTAAATCAATATCCTAAAACTAATACTGACTTAGAGATGTTGCATGTACAAAAATTTTCAGTTCTCCTGAATGCAGGAGTTTTCAAACAAAATTGTTGTGATACGTTCTGCCAGGTGGAATAAAATTTTGCAGCCAAAATATACAATTCAAAGAGTAAGCTCAATTTAGGTGATACTTGCATACATTTCCATGCTGACGTGTGTGTAGCTGGAAAATGGAGTGAGAGTGGGTATGCTTTTTGGGATTTTGTTGTGGGAAAGGCCAAGGTGTGTAGGACCTTGGAGAGGGCATAGGATCCTGATCTGCAGCTATTCAAAGGCCCTTTCAAAGCGAGATAAGATGGGAGTGGCCTGCATGCTTTCCAAGTGGACTGCCTGCACATCCCATGGCTACAGGGATTATTCCTTTAACCTGTTGGGTTTCAACTAGGGAGACAAATTGGGGTGGGGTGGGGTCACCTTGCTGATCTCTGGAGAAAACCATTGAATAGTATTTAGTGTCACCAATGTAAGTTGCCCAAATTCGCCTTTGTTTTCTGAAAGCAGATAACTGTGCATAAAACTAGAAACTTGCTTTTTAAAAAAATATTATTCTCAATATTTAAACTACAATTTAGTATGCTAGTAAGTCAGATCTTTGGAGGACTTTGTATGGTTAAGTTTATAATGTAGAATGTTTCCTAAGAAAGGCTTGAGTAAGACAAGATGAAGCCTTCCAAATTGTGTCATTTTTATTTGCAGAAATTTGTATGGATTCTTTCTTTATAAGAGTGTTCTTCCCAGACACAGCTGAGTTATTCAAAAAAGGTTAAGAATGAACCCAGGTGGACCTTGAGCCTACATGTTTCCTCTGCTGAGATTCATTTTAGATTAACTGCACTTTAGTGTGTTGTGTAAACCCTAAACTGTGGTTAATTTTAACAATGCCACAGCAAAGAAGCCAACTTTCTATAATACTGCTTAACTCTCACCCTAAATATTGCTTATTATTGTGGGGCATGGGGTGGGAAACATGTGAGTCAAACTATGCTTTAGCATTGTGTCCAAGCAACTCAGCTTTTTACATGTTTGCCTTTGTATATCTAGGTTGCTTCTTTCTTCAGCAATAATTTAGACTGTTTCACTGCATCACTGAGCTATGGGCCTAAGGGAGGAATGGAGTTCATCAACCCCTTGTCTGCCGAGTGCATGCTTCAGTACAAGAAGAAAGCAGCTGCCTACATGAAACTGCTGAGGAAGGTTTGCATTTGTTCGAACTACAATAGGCCTGGCACAGTCACTTGAATCCCTTGGATATGCTCTAAAAATCCTTTTGATGTGGGATGGGATTCTTTTCCTCCAATGAAAGGTTATTTGTTGCAGGCAGAACCATTTTTGTTGCTGATCTTAGGGTGAAGTGCAGGAAAGATTGCAAAACATGATTATGGCTGGATAAATGGACAAGTGGCAACTCAGGAAAGAGTGTGGGGTGGGGCTGGAAGGAATTGCACAATATCATTCTGAAGTTGTGTAGAAAAACCTGGGTAGTATAGTCTTGCAGACTAGGAGGTGAGTAGAGTTCATGGCCTTTGAGAACAAGATGGCTTTGGTATGCCTCCAAGGAGCAAGAGTGGGTTTGTTGCTAGAGGTATTTTGGATTTGATTTATTAGCATTGGTGAAGAATTTGACTAAAGATAATAATGTTCACTGCAGGCTCATTGCTCACCTGTTTAGCTCATATCAGCACGGGGAAGAGCTGCCGTGCTTGTGGATTGCAGGGACGTGTGAGGATGTTCTCTTCCACCCTGTCATGGACCAGTGAGGGAAGACAGCGTGCCTCCACTCCTTTTTGCTCTTCTTCTTTTGTGGTCTTTTCTGCTGCCTTTGGGTGGAGATCTTTATTTCTGTGCCTGCCTTCACCAACCAACCACAAAACTCTAGGTCTTCAGATAGAGTGGGTTGGCTAAAAGAGACCACAAAATTTCAAATAAAAAGGTTTAAATTTAACTGAAGAAAATACCATTTGGATTTAAAAAAAAAACTGAAAGGACATGTACACAATATACATAAAAGCATGTGGGCACTTGGGTAATAAAACTACCAGGGATAAGCACATCCAGCTTGTCTAACTAAACAATGTCCCTACTTTATCTTCCCCTTATTCAAGCAACATCTTACTGCCTTTGGTTCAGCTCACTCTATCAGTGGCAGGAGATCTGACTCTTCTCTTTCTTTTGACTTCTTTCCTTGCTTCTCTTTCTCACTTTTTTCTCTTAACGCTTTGCTAGCTTTGGTTTCTATTGTCTATTTTTTTTCCTCTCCCCAGCTCAAACAAACTAGGAGGTTAGTTTGTTGCTCATTTCCGCAAAGCACAGTTTCTGAATTGAACTTTCTCCCACCTCCACCATTCCAACCTTTAGTTGCACTTTATAATCTCCTGTGCCTATAAGCACAGAGTTCTGTATTGTAAGGAAACTTCTGACCTCTAAGCTATTAACCTTTTGACAACTGAAACAGCCAATACAAATGACTGGACCCCATAATATCCTAAAACCAAACATGTCATAATAATGCAGGACAGTTTTCTTCCTTTATACCTAGGCTAAATCAGGATGTTTTGGTTTCCCTAGGTCTGCTATAGCCTAGCAGTCTCAACATCAGTAAATGAATGTTCTTGTCATTGGGATATGTATGTATGTATATTATTCTGGCAAAAACTCCTCTCCTTCTCATGAACCAAAGGACTTCATAGGTCATGGGCAGGCAACTTGCTAGTCTCCAGATGTCGGAGGAGTAGTCTAAAATATCTGGGAGGCTCTGTGTTGCTTTCCCCTGCTCTAAACCTCAAAAAGCAATTGCAACAGTGGTCAGTCTGTTGTACTGAGACAGGGAATATCTGAGTCCTAGTCTCGCTCAGCCCTGAAGCTCACTGGGTGACTTTGGGACAGTTGCTGACACACAGCCAAACCTACCTTACAGGGTTGTTGGTTCATTTCATTTACATTTATTTAGTTTCTGTACAGCCCATAGCTGAATTCCCTGGGCAATGTACAACAGTGCAGGCAATGTATAACAGTCCTACCTGAAAGGTTGTTGTGAGGATAAAATGGAGAGGAGAATTATGAAAGCTACCTTTGGGTTCCATGGAAGAAAAACATGTAGGCTATAAATAAATAAAAATAAATAAAAGTATAGGTGTAATCGTTGCAAGGAAAAGGTCTGCTACTTTCTCTGCCTTTCCATACCTCAGTACTATGGAGAAATCCTACACTCCAGTTAGAAACCTGGGAGGATGGGAACATATCCACATAGTCATAGCAGGAATCAGAAGCATTTGGAGTACCTCTGTATCCCTTGAACTGAAAAACCCTCCTCTTGGGTAACAGGGTTCTAGTGACCACAAACTTGACTGCCAGCCAAAATCAGTCGATCTGTATGCCATGTTGGACTACATGGTTGCAAAATAATGGGAAAACAATCCAAGAAGCTTCTACCTGCTGGTAAATTGCTGGAAGAATTGCTGTGTTTTTGTGTAGCAGAGATAAATAACAATGCTGTAACTTTTTAAAAGTCTGTGCTAAAATGCATAATCAGCAAAGTCTTTTGCTGTATGGTACCACTTGAGACTGCTGATGTGAGATTGAAAGTTGGAATGATCCCCTCCAACTCTTTGAAGCACTTCATCCCTGCTCATCAGCTGAAAAGATGGTCAGAGCTGCCTACAGAAGTTCAATAAAAATAATAAAAAGACAAGTCTCTGCCCACAGGCTTACCCTCCAAGACCAACACAAATGGAGAAGAGGGACTATCTACTTCTTACTATCTCATAATGGAGGCTTACTTCGTTTTGAAGAAACATGTCAAAATATGGGATTGGACTCCTGCATCCCTTTCTTTTTTCCAAGCACTCATTTTTAAGAACCAGTTGATAAATTGATTGTATTAATCGAAACCTAAACCCTTTTTGAAAGACAGTTAATGAATTTCACAGTCAGTAAAAAGGCCCCTTTCATAGACTTGTAACTTATTGATTCAGGATCACTTAAGAGGCAGGGAATGCATTTTGAAGTTTAAAGCCAGATGACATGAGAATTGTTGCAAGGAAAGTATAGAAGGAGAACAAGGATATACTTTTCAGAATGAAATAAGTAACTCTATTGCAACTAATCTCAAGAGAAAATCATTTTAAGTAGGGCAAAAAACCTTATGCAGCAGAAAAGCTCCTCACGTATTTAGCTTTAAAAAAAGAGCAACATTCAAACATGTATGGCTAGTTTGCACATGATGGTAAGCCTGAGTTAAAGAGCAGCATGCTTATAAATGCGGCCCAGTCCGTTCATAGCTTGTTTAGTGTGACATGCAAATCAGGACCTCTGGCTCATCTCCCCTTTGACAAGCCAGGGAAATAAGCCAAAAGCAAACTGGATTATTTTTCCAAGTCGTCAGGGAAGAGAAAGACCAGAGAGCCTGGTTTGTATCGCTCACTAGTTGTTTCCATTGCAGGTTTGTTTATTTGTTTCCATTGCAGGTTTGTTTATTTGTTTCCATTGCAAGATACACAAGTATGCTGCTCATAAGCAACTTCGGCTTATTGTGACATGGAAAGTGCACCATGGTATCCCCCTCTCACACATGTTTGAAATGGTATACTCTACTGTGTTTGAACCTAACTGGTTTGAGCGACTTAAATAGTTGTAAGGAACTATTTACTACTACTGTTGCTGTAAACAAGTTCTTAAAATGCCACAGCATTGGGGCAGGGGTAGGAGATGCTCTGCTTTCAGCTGAAAGGAGGAAAAGGGTATTACAGACAGCAGCCTAATTTCATTTTATATGAGAAGGATTTGTAGTCACTTGCTTGGAGCTACTAAAAGGATCAACTGTCCTCATTTGAGATGCATGCTGGCAGATTGACTTTTATAGCACCAATTTAGACTTCTTGGTACCCTTCCTAGCTTCTTTCATACTACTAACAACTTTTCACACTGTCCTGATCCCTCTATTCTACTTCCAGTTCTCACAGAACCATTTAGTGCCTTCCTACCAGATGATAAAACTTCATTTTGTTCCAGATGAGACGCTTGTAATCAGAATGCCACACTGATGTTTTTTTGTTCACTGTTTTGAGGTCTAGTTCAGTTCTTCCTTTGCTTTTTTGCCCCATTTCACTGTAAGCTTTTTAGAACAATGTTGCAGCTGTGCATTTTTCTTTGTTTCACTCTAACTGCAGTACCCCAGGCCCAGATTTCTTCCTTTAAAAGCCTGGAAAGCATCAAAAAAGACTTTTGCTAGCAAGGGGGAGGGCAGTGGGGAAACTTAACGCTTGCCATATGTAACCTGACTCACCGAAGTCATGTGTCTTTTGGCTCCAGCCGTGTACCGATTCAGTGCCTTATGAAGAGGCCTTGGCCAACCGCAGGGTTCTTCTGAGTTCCACAGAGAGCAGAGAGGGCCTCGCACAGCAGGTATTCCATGGCTTGGCATGCAGCCATTTCATAATGCAGTGTGCTCACTGAAACGATGTTTTATTTGGTAGTTGCATTGTGTGAACATCTTCATTTAGTGCACATGCTAATATGCATGTAATATGAAAATCTGCAACTAAGGGAGGATTGTGGTTTTTAGAATTTTGCACACCATTGAAGAATGGTCTAAGGAGCTAATGCTGACAGGCTGCTTTGATAGACTGTTCCCCAAAGGAACTGGGTTTTGGTGTGCTTGTTTGATGGATGCCATTTGTCTGGGTTTCTGCCAAAAAGCCAAATAGCATAAAGCAGACAAATACATTTGATCACCTTTGTAAAGATGACTTCTTGGATCAGATTTCTGCTCCACCCTCCCCACTTAACATGTTTATATGTCTAACGGAAAACAAGGAAATAATCTGGAAGGGCAAAAGCATGTTTAATAAGATTCCCTGCTACCAAGCTTAGAAGATGGAGAAGGCAAACTAAAGATTTGGTATATGTATGTTTGGTATATTTTGTATCATTTATGGATGGAAAGGTGAGTGAAAACATAAGTGGTACTGTTAATTCACTCTGCTGACAAACATGTCCTGCCCAGAAAACTAGCTTCAGAAACTGAGAAACTAGGCTGCAAGCTAGAGAGCTGGTTGATCTATTAGCTAAAGGCCAGAGTTGATCTCTGTGAGTGCATACTTTAGTTCAGTGTTGGCAAACCTTGAGAGACCGAGTGTCCAAACTGCAACCCAAAACCCACTTATCGCAAAGTGCCAACACTGCAATAAAACCTGAATGCTGAGGTTGTAGTTTAGAATAAACAACTCGCAGCCAGTCCAAGCATATGTCCTTGGCAGCGTACTGATCGGCCATGCGAAAGCTCAGACAAGTCGTGGCTAATGAGTCGCGGCTCGTGACGTCATCGCCTGGAACCGCTAATCCTTTCAGAGCATGCGCATAGCCCCTATGTCTGCTGTTATCCAATGCTTGGCTGCTGGGGCGATGCTGGGGCAACTTGGCTCGCGTGCTGACAGAGAGGGCTCTGCATGCCACTGCAGCACACGTGCCAGAGGTTCGCCACCACTGCTCTAGTTCTTACATTGTTTCGGATTTGCATTTCAGGAATCAAAAGGGTTGTGCTAGGAAAATTTAGTAAAGAGATGGAAGCACATTGGATTAAGCACAAAATGGACTTCTTTCTGGGATGTTTGGAGAATAATATAATGTTCTCTTTTTTATAACTATAGAACATTATCCAGTCTATTTAGGTGATGGTGACAAATCTCAAGTTTAATTTTTGTCAGTTTTTTAAATGGTATAAACAATTGACAAAAACAAAGGGAGAAAAATATACACAATTTAAATAGCTTAATGTTAAAAAGAGCAAATATTGAAACCGTTGTATCAAAATGTGTCACACAATACAAAATAAAACTGTAAAACCTACAAAACTGTGGTGTTAAATGCTATGATAATATAAAAGGACATATACAACAATATGTAAACCTTTAAAAAGTACAAATAGGTCAAACAAGTTTCAGCTTTTGGCTTCATCAGTGTCCTGTGCAAAATTATGAAGAAAAAACATAGGAAAACAAATGCATTGCTACTATGGTCTAAGTTCCAATTAAAAATTCTTCAAAAGAAGAGTGAATGTATATCCATATATCGTTGGCAGGCTTTATTTCTAGGCATGCTGGTAATCAGTGCACACAAATTATCTTGCCATATAGCAATTGTCTTACCACCAGATGATTCCAAAACTCACCCTTCGCTTATTGAATATAATTGCACAAATAGGTGTGGTAAAGTCTGAGTAATATGCATAGAAAATAAAAATATGTCCTTTTTTTCCATTAGCCTATAGTAATTTCAAGGCCACTTGTCTGTCCTTCTTTGAGTTTTGGGGGATTTTATACCAAATGCATGCCAAAAGCCTTCCCTCTCAAGAGTGAGAATGGCATCAGCTGTGCAGGAGGTGGTTAATTGATCCTGTCAGCTCTGTGCTGAGCTTTTCTGCTAGTGCAGTTGGACAGATGGATTCTAAAAACACAACAGCTTAGTTTTCCATATCTAAGGTATATTACAAAAGAAAAGAGCATAACAATCAAAAAGTGTGATCTGGTCTTAACAATATACTTGTAGGAGTCTAGTTAAGATCTTCACTGAGCTGGTGTTTGCAAAGAATGAACCCAAAATATCTCTCACCTTTTGAATTTGGATTCTGTGTATATTGGATCTGGTGCTTTCTTCTGAGCATCCAGAATTTCAAGTCTTTCCTACAAAATATTTTACCAGTGGGACTAGCCAGTTAAAATAACTTTGATCACTCCATTTAACCAGACTTATCACAGATGGAAAGCAACTGTACTAATGGACCTGTATCATAATTTGCATCATTCTTTATGGATGTTTAAAAAGAAACCATATTTCTCTATATTGCAGTTTGTCAAACTTTATCTAGCCTGTAACTGCAAGCATCTGTTTCTTCCTCTCTCCAGATGATCCTACTTGATTTGTGTACTGAGCTATGGATTGCTCTATTATCATATGTTTACATTTTAAATGAAGTAAACATTTGTTTAAAGCTTTGTAAAAATGCAAGCTGTTTGTCACAGCTTTAGTTTTATATGGTGCCTTTGCACTCTCCTTTTCTGTTCTCTCTGTTTTTTGTTCTGAAGAGGCAGAAGCATAGTGCTCACATGGAAATCATGTTTGCATTTTTACCATTAAGAGGGCTAGAAATCTTTAAATACCAGCTGAGACTGAACATGAACCTGCAGACCAGAGCAATGTTAGGAGTTTCTTTGTTGCCTCTGTCCATTCCAAATACTGCCTGCTCTAGTAATGGCTCAGTTTGCTGTGCATTCACTTTCAGATAAGTCTACTGTACTCTTTAGTTTTTGTCAGCTTTCATCCATTTGCTTCATGGGACTAACTCTCCCTACTATTTAGGTCCAGCAGAGTTTGGAGAAGATTGCAAAACTGGAGCAGGAAAAAGAACACTGGATGCTGGAGGCTCAGCTGGCCAAAATTAAGGCAGAGAAAGAGAATAAAAGAGCACTTGATAAGCTCAAGAACTCGATTGAGGCAAATCAGGAGAGCCCTCTCATGCTGAATGCAGGTGAACAGGAGAAGGAGGGTGCGGAGAAGGTTTGCAAGGAACCAGTTAAAATCACAGGTCTGGTAAGTGTGTTTTATTCCCATTGACATACCAGGAGTTTTTTTGATCCACAGTATTTTTTTCCTTGGCAATTTTTCCCACTTATTATGAAACATTGAATTTCTACATTAATTAGTTATTTAATGCATTGAACACATTGGCTACATTTCGATGAACAAGTTCAGCTTCCCCTTGAGCTTGTGACTTTTCCCATGTCCTTTAGGAGTGAGTAGTTTGGAAGGTTTTGCTTCTAAGCCAGTTTCATATACCACAGCTGGAAGTTGGCTTGTTTCAAACAAATCATAGTTAGAGTTGGCTATAATTTGCCTTGGTTCTCATGTAATATGAACCTATGGTTTGTTTAATCCATGGTTTGTCTAAAACCAACTGGTTTTTTGGCACTGCAGTACTGGCATGTAAAGGGCTGACCTTACTGCTTTTTCCTGCTGCCTCTGTAATCTGGCTGAACAACCCATGATTCTGGATTCAACAGTCATGATAGCCCATGTTTTAAACAAACCACAGTTTGCATCACAACAGCAAACAGTAGTTAACTGAAAGTTCCCAGATCACATGAAACAACAATTATACTACATCTTGTTACATGCAAACCAGGTCAGTGTCAGGTTTCAATGACACAATCAACCATTGTTAAAAGCAGAAAAACAAAAGTCTGCAGAATTTCACAGAACTGATGTCAGTCATATTGGTCATCTAGCATAAATGCAACAATGCTTATTTTTTAAAATTGAAATTGTAACTAACTTTTTAAGGTGACTTTCCCTGAGAAGCACTTATGTTTATGTGCATCGCCCTTGGGGCGTACTATAATCAATGAGTTGTATCCAAAGGACTATTTGATTATTTTAAATTCTGTTGTTTTGGGTTTTGCTACTGTAACCTGCTTTGTGGACTGTGTATAAACAATTTTATTACAAAGAAATGAAACAAATACCTTGTAATATAATTTACCCAAGTTCTCAGATCAGTCTGAAATTCATGAGTTGTTAAAATTTTGGGATACATTTAGAACACAATCCTAAACATGTCTAGAAAAAAAGTGCTATGACTCTGTGCATTCCCTAGCCACTCATGCTAGCTGGGGGATGCCGGGAGATGTTCTTCTGTCTAAATATGCATACAGCAGCATGCTTGTATTTATACACTTCTAGCCTCAACTGAAAAAGGGGATTTTGTGTTAAGCTGATTTAAGCGTATGTTTTCATGGTCCTAATATCCTTGAATGTTTTGGTACATATTCCTGGCTTTCAAATTAATGTTTGTTTACCAAAAGGTAAAGTGGTGTAATATTCTGATGGGAACACATGTTACAGAAGGACTGTTTGGCAGATTTGAGGTTGATGCCTTTGAGAGAGAGCAGCTTTATTTGGGAATACTAGCTAGCTCAGCAGGTCAGTTCTGAAACACAGCTGCATGTGTGAAATTGAGTATTTAGCACTTGGACATAATATGTGTTCAGTAGGCTGAAAATAGTAGTCTGAAGGACATGTGTAGATAAGTGTGTCATAAAGTGTGTAAAGATTTGAATGACTCGATCTAGCAGTATAGCCACCCTTTGCAGAAGCAGTACTTTCCTACCATCGGTTTCCTACTTTTCCTGGTTTGGCACTCCGGATTTTATACCATATTGACTCTTTATGTTGGAGAGCATTATGCCAACATTTTCTGTATTAAACAGATACTTTCAGCTGGGGTATCATTGCATCAGATTCTACCCATTCCCTTTCTACAAAAAATATTTTTATCAGGAAAACATTGTAGAAGAGATGAGCTTAATTTAAAGCTTAAAGTTGAAATGTAACAGTTGGTTGTCTGCCACATACCAAATAATTTGTAATATGATTATGTTAAACATCAATAATATGATAATAGGCCTTTGGCTTGGAAATTATGCAAATTGCTGTTTCAGCAGTCAGTTATGATTTGGTGTATGTTTAGAAGGAACACATTTGCAAGATGATTCCATTGAATATACATTTTGTTCATAGAAGAAAATGCCACAAGCATGATGTAGCTAAGGTTTACCCAAACTGATGGCCTAACGATTCCTATGGGAGGCAGTTGAGCATATGTTTAGTTTTCCCACTGAGAGCCTTGCAACTGAAATCTGCTTAACATTTTAAAATTTGGGTCGAAATCTGCTAAACATTTTCTGAAACCATTTGGATAAACTAAAGTAAATAGCTTTTAGAGCCAGAGAATAAATTATTTCTTTGAGCTGATCCTGTTGCCCTACTTTCTTTTTAGGTTGGAATGCTGACAGTAACTACTGGAAATGACGAGGTATCGTTTCAATGTTGCAGTGCCATGCTAGCATAATTTTTAAGCTGAAAACATTGACTAATGCTGAACCTGCCCTTTTGTGCCTCTCTCCCACCTTTCAAACTAATGTACCTGTGTTCAGTTTAATTTGCCTGATGAACCATTTCCTAATCAGCCCTTCTTTGGTGTTATCTTGCTTGGGGATAGGGACATGCAACAAATCCACTTTGGCTGGAAAATCTGCTCGATTCTCAGGTTTACAGCTCCCCAGGCACACCAGTCCACATTGGAGTGGCCCAGAGTCCGAGCTCCTGATGAGCATGCCCAGAGTTCACGGGTGCTTTCCAGGAACTGAGTACCATGCACTGTGCAAGCAGCACCACAGGAATGGTGGACAGGGCACCTGCTAGCTGTGCTCCTTTTCGCTGTGTGCCAGGGATGGCAGTGAGCAGGGAGGGAGGTTGGCCACCAAGAATGGCAGCTAGGGAAGGTTTGTGGTGTGCAGCTGGGGATCTGTGAACACTCACAGACTCTTCCAGGCTCAGCTCTCTTCCTTTGAGAAAGATGAGCAATGGGAAAAGTCCAGTGGGCAGGCACAAACAGGGTTCTAGAGCAGCTTGGCATGTCCCTATTTGTGGACATTTTGAGATTGACATTTCCTATTTTGTTTCTATGAATATGGAGGCAAAATTATAGAAGTGTTGTACAGTGCCCTGTTCCTCATAGGACCAAACAAGATGCTTCTGAGAAAGCTGCAAAAATAATGTGAAAATCACAGCCATTTCCTACTATTGTAGAACAACTGGTGGTATTCAAAATCAAGCTATTCTGTAGCCGATGAAAGCCTTATCCTTCATGAATTTCTCACATTCCTTTTTAAAGTTGTCTGCTGAATTCCACAGCTAAGCAAGTTGTTGTGCAGAGAAGAACTGAATTATTTCAGATTTTAGCATTACAAGAGGGAAAGAAACTTCTCCTCTCCACTTTCTCCCCACTGTGCATAATTTTATAAAACTCTGTCATCTTTCTTTTTGTGTTTTTTCCCTAAACTACCAAGCATAAAAGGCAATATTTCCTCATAGGTGGCTCCTTGACCAGTCTGGTTGCCCTTTAATTCACCTTTTCAGCTCTACAGTATCCTTTTCTGAGATTTAGCTTTCACAGTACATCAGAATCCATGTTTGCTTTCTCTGTTCCATGTGTGTTATTTTTCACAGTTTAATGGGCATTTGCTTATTTTTTGATGAACTTGCTTTGCAGGCTTCAGAAACTGACAACCGAGAAGACTTGATCAGAAATCACTATATGGCAAGAATAGTGGAGCTCACATCTCATTTGCAGCTGGCTGACAGCAAATCTGTACATTTCCATGCAGAGGTGTGTGAGCAATCAGTTGCTTGCTTTGAGAGTGAAAAATAGGCATTACAGCAATGGTTCCTTTTTTTTTCTAGGCGATCTCCTCTGATAGGTAGCTGCTTTCTCACCCACTCACCTGCAGTTGTGCTTCAGAGAAAAGCTGGTTGATTGATAGACTAGAGTTCATGGGAGGAATGAGTTGCAGAATGCGGGGGAGTAGTGCTGTAGGAGGTACCCTCAGCTAAATGGAACACAACAGCAGAGAATTGTAAAGTGCATGGAAGAGTTTGTCATGGGGGAGGTTGGACCTGATGGCTTTATTGCCCACTTCCGACTTTATATTCTTTGATTCAATGAGAAGGAAGGCAGCAAGGTTGGATGAATAATTACCCTGAACACTGCAAAGAGGAATTGTCATGGAAATATGCAGAGAGGGGATTCTAATACAGTGAACTTCAAAGAAAGAACACTAGAATGGATGCATGGTCAGAAGCTACAGCTGGCAGAATTCAGTTCATTAGTGGAAAGAAGGTTGGCACCACTGTTGCCAGGACCTCTAGGGCAAGCTGAATGGGTGAATAGGAGAGCCACAATGGGACGAGCAGTGGCACTGTTGGGGAAGCCAAAGCCAAGATTGACTGGCCGAGCATCTTGAGAAAGGAAAAGTTCATATATTGCCTTCTGGCTGAGGAAGCAACAATTCTAGAGGGAACAGGAGAAGGCAAATGGGATGATAGGAAGACAGTGAATAGGAATAACTTTTGAAGACAAAGCCTGGTTGTTTGCCATAATATTTGAAATAGGTGGCTCTGAGACTGTCAGGAGTTCAAGTAGTCTCCATCTACCTGTACATGCACAGAGTCTTCAGTACACCCACGTCCTCCCGTCCCCCATAGTAACTGTCAGTATAAAAGCTCACTAAACTAGACTACCATGGTTTACTTGTGTTTAATTTGACAGTGCCGAGCACTTGCAAAGCGACTCTCTCTAGCAGAGAAATCCAAAGAATCCTTATTGGAAGAAATGAGACTAAGTAAACAGAGCATCACCAGATTACAGGCAAGTTTCACTGCCATGTGGTGGAGGTATATTTCCAAACACTGATACACAAGCTATGTGGATTTGTGAAGACTTTAGAGCAGTCTCCATCCACTAGAGAACTGTTCCAGCTCTAGAACTGTTCCAGCACTCAGGGAGTTAACAACATCAGCAGAAATTATGGTATTCCCAGATAACTGGTGGGCATCCCATTTCTCAGATCTTTCTTCTGCTAGCACATTTGAAAAGATTTATACTTTTCTTCACTAGCTTTATGCTATCCTTCCTAGCTGTAAGCTGAGGTGGACAACTGTGGGTGGCCTGGGAACATCTTCAGCTCTCTGGCCCCCCTTCCCCTGCTGCTGGGAACAGTTGACCCAAGAAACATAGAAGGGTCACATTTACCTTACTTGTAAGCTAAATATGACCTATTTGGGGCTGTGGGGTTACAAAGCCCCAAAATGATCACATTTAATTAGGAAATGAGATGCATTCTGTAGTGTCAGTCACATAGATTTTTGCCAGAGAGAGAGGATTCTTTTAACCACCATTGTTCTAAGCATACTTGACAGAAAAAAAATTCATGCAAGAACTGAATAAGAACTTGAAGACTTTTCCTTGAAATGTACTTTTGTGTATCATAAAATGCCTTCTTGATGTCACTCCTCCATAAAATCTCTTGTCCTACCAATACTTTTAACCATATGTCCCAGCTGTTTACCACTTTACTACCAAGAAAAGGCTTGATAGTTGGAACTCTCATCTCATTATAGTCACACTGAATCTGCCACCCAGAGCAAAATGCAGGTGCTAAATAGCTGATCTTACTCGTTCCCCAGAATGGGCTCTCCTCAAGGAGAAAGGCTGGTCCAGCAGGTAGCCCTTGCAGTGGCACAGTGGTGGGTCACTCAGGCTGGTTCATTGTTTACCACTGATTTCACTATGGGAAACCTGAATTCAGATCCTTGCTCTTCTATAAAACCCATTGGCTTGAGCATGTCATAATCATTCAGCCTAGCCTATTTTCTTGGGTTGTGAGCTCACAAGTATTCTTTGAGTTCTGATGCTGCAGCATTTGGCCCTTCTATAGCATTTTCAGCTTAGTAACAAGAGACATAAGAGAGATTTTAAAGAAATAAATGTGCCTGCTTGTCAACAGAAAAGTAAAAAGGCAGTAAACTAGAACTTAATCAGTGTTCCTATTTTCTGTACTTCTGCTCTTCTACTTCATGGGGAACTTTTGATTGAAGGTATCGTGTCTTTGGCATTTCAGGATGAATTGACAACAACCAAGAGAAGCTATGAAGATCAGCTGAGCATGATGAGTGACCACCTTTGTAGCATGAATGAAACGTTATCTAAGCAACGGGAAGAAATAGATACCCTAAAGCTGGCTAATAAGGTATGTAAAATAGTTCGTTGTACATTGGATTTGTTGTAAGTCACCTTCATTTCCTATCCTTTTTTTAATTATTCTTACTTGAGGACACTGATGAACAAAAGAAGCTTTTTAAAAAGTGTTGGGTCATTCTTGTGCATGTGTCTTGAATGTTGAACTACAAAATTCAAGGTATTGCCTCAGACACGCCAAAAGAAACAAGCACAGGATTGTTATTAACTGAGTTGCTGAATAAATGAAACTGTAGATGGCAACTTGTCCTTTAATCCTAGATCTTGGTCATATCATAGTTTAAGTTCATAGTCTCCACAAGGGTCCCCATTGATTTTCAGATGTAAAACCACACAAAGGACCTGGCTTGCATGAGACAACAACCCTTTATGGGTCACTAGCTATAATGGGTTGTTGTATTTTGTGAAAGCATGCTACTTCCTGCTGGGTGTCTTACTTTTCAGCACTATGGCAACAATGAATAACTTGTTCTAGCTTGTTGGTCAATCCATGATGAGTTGTTACATCATCTGAATCCAGGAGAGCATTTTAATGGATTTCAGGAATCTGCTGGCATGTGCTTCAGTAAGAGCTGCAAACCCCCTTGCTACTTTTAGTAATTTTAGCATTTCGGTTGCCAGTGACAGCCCCTTCTCTGATGCTTGAAGCAGCACTTCGGACTGACAATCATTGATCCTCTATCCCCTTTTTAGTTACTGAAAATTGCATAAACGTGTTTGTAACATCTGGTTTTGGTTGACCTTTCACAAATACACTCTTGTGTGGTCCAATACAGCTGTCCCATATAGGTAGCCATTTTGGAACTTGGCAGTTGATCCTTGGCAACTTGGGCAAATTAGCCTAAATGTAGTTGTTTTGCCATGTCAAGTTCCTTGAAAGTTACAAGGACACTGGAAACATACAGGAAAATTGACTACACAAATTGGACAGTTGTAAGTGCATATATGCAAAAGATAGACAGGTTTTTAAAAATATTAACACATTTTCACAAATCTGTAGGACTCAAAAAGTAAAAAGACCCTAACTGCTAATTTTTAAGGCTCCACAAATTATTTTTTAAATGTAGCAAACTCCAACAGTGGTTGGAGCAAGAAGGGAAGGAGGCAGTACAGTTCTGCTGTGAAGCCCCTTGGGGTACTAGTTGGAGGACATATGAACATAAAGGCCATGTGGGATCAGACCAATAGTCCATCCAGTCCAGCACTCCATTCACATGGTGGCAAACCAGCTGCACACAGATTCCCCCAAGCAGGATGGGTGCAAGAGTTCTGCCTGCCCAAGCTCCTCAGCAGCTGGTGTGTGCAGGCATGCTATCTCTAGTAAAGGAAGTAGCACATAGTTAGCAGGGCTAGTGGGCACTGAAAGCTGCCTCCACGAAAGGACTGAGGAGAGGAAGACCAAACTATGGTGAGCCTATTGACAGGTACATCATGAATTGTTCTGTGAAAAACCCGTACTATGTACCTTTTTTGCGGGGTGGCTTAGCTTGTCATATGAAGCTTTCCAAAGATCTTCATACCTCTTAGTTTACTAAATGACTAAAGATAGGTTGGGGGAAGGGAAGAGCAAAGTACAAGTGTTTGGTCTGTGAACTCTGGAAAATATTTCTGAGTGGGTTCTGCCTTGTCCACCTCTGCTTTTGTCTAATATTTAACCATGCCCAAAGACCTGCACCAGAAGATAGAGGAGACTACCTTCCTTCCTGGAAGGCTTACAAAATATATTTAATAACTAGGCAATAATTAGAGGAGTGGTGCCTTGCTGGGATAAAAGGTACCTGAGAATGGATGACAAAGAAGCTGCTGCCGAGGGGTGGCAAGACAAGCTTGTTAATGAAGTGATGGCCTTGAGAAGAAAGGGCGAAGACCGAAGTAGCTGGGGTAAGCAGGACATGGGCTCAGCCATAGAGGGCAGCATGATAGCGTGCTAGTGGGAGCTGGAGAGAGAAAGGGCTGATTGTAGAATTTATTTGAACTGATGACAGGATCTTGATTGAACACTGTAGATATGAGCCACCGGATTGAATTGGGGTCCACAGAAGGAGGTTTCAGGTTTAGACTTTAAGCACTCCATTGGGAAAGATCTCTGATATCCATGACAGCTACCTGAAAAGAGCCAGCAGTCTGATTCAGTATGGCAGCTGTGTGTGTTGATGTGTAGTTGTGGTGGGAGACAAACGAGAATAAATTCACGCAAGTCAAGCCGCAGGAATGCTGATTGTCTCCATTTTTGTTTATGCTTATATTTTATGGTTGTATCTCTACATTTACATTATGAAAACTGTAGATGCTTTTTTCTTTTTGGCAAATGAGATTATGGAACTTGAATACAGTGTAGAATGTGATAGAAAGACACTATTGAAGAACATGGTTCAGTGTTATTTTAATGGTGCAGTAACTAGTTTTGTTAACTGAGTAGAGCCTTGGGTTTGAAATTGCATGTTAGTATCATGCAATGCCTCTTCAGGACATATGAGTTATCCCAGACCGATGATATATAATGACCATATATCATTATATATATTAATGATATATAAATAATATATATCATTATTTATATAGTCATATACCACATAAAGTAGAACCTGTTTACCTCAGGAATAGTAATTGATACAGGTTCAGCTACTCACTGAGGATGGCAAAATGGTAACACATGACAAAGAAAAAACAGAAGTGCTCAGTTCCTACTTTGGATCAGTTCTTTCCCAAAAGAGAGTCTTTGACCTCCCTTGCAAAGGTGAAGTACAAGCTAAAGAGGCAGGATTGCAACATGAGATTTATAGGCAAATGGTCAAAAAGCACCTCATTACTTTGAAAAAGTTCAAATCTCTTGGGCCCAATGAACTGCATGCGAGAGTAATATAGGAACTGGCAGAAGAACTCACAGAGCCACTGTCTGTTATCTTTGAGAAATCATCACAGATGGGCAAAGTGCTGGATGACTGGAGGAAGACCAATGTTGTCATTCTCTTCCAAAGGGAAAAAAGAGGAATTTGGGAATTACAGACCAGTCTGTCTGACATCAATTCCTGGGAAAATTCTGAAACAGCTTATAACCACTCAGAATATAGCTACCTTAAAAACAATTCCGTGAGTGCTAGAAACTAACATGGGCTTGTTAGAAACAAATCCTGTCAGGCTAATCAGATCTCATGATTGATTGGAAAACCACCCTGGTGGACTGTGGCAATGCTATGAACATAATAAATCTTGACTTCAGCAAAGTTTTTGACAAAGTGACACACAATGTCCTGACCAGCAAACTAGCTAAAAGTGGGCAAGATAGATAAGATGGATCCATAGCTGGCTACAGAATTGGACTGAAAGATGCTTATGAATGGCACTTTCTGAAACTGGGGAGAGATGGATGTGGTACTGCAGGGTTCAGTCCTGGGCTCAGTGCTCGTCAATGCTTTTATTAAAGATTTTGATGATTGGGGGGGGGGCAAAGAATGCTTATCAGATTTGCAGATGACATGAAATATGGTAGAATAGCTAATAGTTTGGAAGGCAGAAACAAAATCTAATGTGATCTTGATATATTGGAATGCTTGGCTGAAAACAATAGAATAAAATTGAATGGGGACCAGTGCCATCTAGAAAAAATAAACCAAAATTTATCATTATAAGATGGGGGATACTTGTTCCAACAATACTGTAAGCAAGAAGGATCTTGGAATTGTTGTAGATGACAGGCTGAACATTTGTAAAAAAGCAAGCAAAAGAAAAGGCAAATGCTATTTTGGACTATATTAATAGAAGTCTCACTTCCAAATCACATGTCCAAGTTCCCCTCTACTCAGTACTGCTTATTTATTTTATTTTATTTAAGTTTTTTTATGCCGTCCCCTTGCTATATAGCCTCGGGACGGCTCACAGAAATAAATAAATACGAAACAAATAACAATTACAGTTAAAACCTGGAAACACACTGGCTGCACAATTAAAACCTATAAATATTAAACATTACTAAAATATTGTTTGAATAAAAAGGCCTTGGCCTGGCGCCAAAAAACAACGATTGCGCCAGGTGGACCTCTCTGCTTAGACCTCAACTTGAGTACTGAGTCTAGTTCTGGGCACCACAGTTTAATTGGAAAGGTTTAGAGTACGGCAACAAAGGTGGTGGTTGTTGTTTATTACATTTTTATATTGTTGAAGGTGGTATATAGAGTATCTTCTATACTGAAGATAGTTAGGGATAAGAAACAAAACTCTGTGTGAAAGGACTAGAGGAATTGGGCATATTTAGCCTTGAGAAGAAAAGATGGAGGGAAGACAGCACTCTTCAAGTACCTGAAAGGTTTTCACAGTGAGAAGGGCCAGAAGTTCTTGATTGTCCCAGAGTGTAGGATGCCAAATAATGGGTCCGAGTTATAGGAATCCAGGTTCCAGCTGAATTTGAGGAAAAGTATGTCTTTTTGAGCAATACAAGAGTAGAACAAAAGTTCTAGGGAAGTTGTGGGTTCTCCCACACTGGAGACATTCAGGATTCCAAGTGTTATCATTCCTGCGCTGCCTGGGAATGATGGAAGTGGTATTTCAATTCATCTGGGGAGCACCAGGCTGGAGAAGTCTTCTTTTGCAAGGGCTTAAGGCAGGTGCAATACAAAAGATGGAACAGCAAGAATGGGACTAACATGGGAGACTTGACTGATGATGAACAGTCTGGAAAAGTCTTGTGTGGGTCAGGAGAAGCTTCTGGACAAGATGGGTTGGGAGGAAGTGACGCAGAGGCAGCTTGATGTGGGGGAGACCCCATTTGAGTATCTGTTTTGCAGCAGCTGCTCCTGAAAGTCCAAAGCCACATTGATGGACAGCAAACTTGTGTTAAAGAATCAATTCCTGAGTCATGAGTTGTCACATGGGACTTGGGGGTGGGGAAGAGAGGCAGGCTGTTTTAAAGACCTTGCCCATGGCTAGCTTACCCAACTGAAGAGCACTGAAAAACAGATTGCAGGAGGATAAAAGAGAGATCTGATACTTGGATGAGCTGCTGTAGGGAAAAATATGTATATGCACTCTCTAAAAGGTAGAAAAATCCCTCTCTCTTTCCTTAGTTTTTTCCTCAAAGCTCTACCTATCCCATGAATCCTTCAATTTATCTTGATCTTGTTTACTTCTCCTCTCCAACTGAATTGAAGCCAAGGTTTTGTAGTTTTGTGCATTTTATGCATGTTGCCCTTGCCTTTCTCCTTCTGTTGTTTATGTGACTCCATATAGCATCATGTGTTTCAGTGGGGCTTGCAAATATACTCATGTAAGACTGACCTACCCTTTGTGCTTAAGTTCTGAAATGTGAACTGCCATGGCTCAAGGTTGCTTGGAAGCTATTTCATCTTTTTAAAAAGGAAATATGATTGTTTTTCCCATTAAGATATAGCTTCTGCTTTACTAGAATCTTCATAGTCCATTCAAGTGTGTTAAATGTACTAAGCAAGAGTAGGCACTAAGGATGTGTTAGAAATTGATGGGATAATTAATCTGTGGCGATGATCCTAAATATGTGCCATCACTTGGGCACACAAGCACTCTGCTTGATTAGAACAAGGTGTCTGTCTGTCTGTCTTTCCCTTTCCCTTCCTTCCTTCCTTCCTTCCTTCCTTCCTTCCTTCCTTCCTTCCTTCTTCTTTGCAAGAACCCCAGTTATACATAAGCAACCTGCTAGAAATTGGTATATGGCAATACTTGGAAAACCTAATAAAAGGAATGGCTTGGGTCATGAGTTCCTTGCTGTGAAAGCAAAGGCTCTTTCCATACATAGAAAGCCTTACAATTCAGCAGCAATTCCTGCAGGGGGAATGAAGGGAGGTGACAATTATGTATTTACCTTCTGGTAGTACCCCCTTCTACTCTTCTGAGGGGCCAGATCTTACGGAGGATACCACCTTCCAGAGCAGAAGTGCAAGGGTTTCAGGCAGAAGGGGTAAACACTAAAAAATAATCTATTTTCTGCTGTGAACCATTCTGTGGGAAGAACTTCTCATATAAGATGCTCTTGCATCAAGCTGCTTGAATCCTGAGTTCCAAGTGTTGTTGTGTTTAATGATCACTTTCAGGAATATAGTCACATGAATGCAGTCTTATGTTAAAACACTTCTTTTATAAAAGTCATTTTAGTTTTTGAAGGGGTGTGTGTGTGTTTAAATCGTTTCTGATCATGTGGTGGATGCAGTCTGTATATTGGCAATATACGTAAGTGAAGCTGACAGATCAGCTGCCTTCTCGGCAGTCGTGGCCACATGTGAAATCTGGTATGCCGTGGCTAAGTTCTCAAGCCCTGTCTTCTCTTGTAGCTAAGACAACATACTTGTGGTTTTTGAAGGTTGTGGAAGCTGTAAAGATTTCTTTCTTAATGTCTGTTTTCTAATGGAGTGGGTTTTTTTTTAATGGAGCTGGCAGACAAAAGCTTTCATCATGGAAACCTGGAAGCAATTTGATGCTTGAGGCTTGTCTACACCGAAACCTCATAAAGCTCAAATGTATACCATGACATCTTCCATGGTTTGTGCCTCCTTTTGAATTTTCTGCTTTTGCAACTACCATCAAGAGAGAAGATGGACTTATTACATTTTTTGTCAGTGGTAGGTAGGATAAGGGTTTTGCATCTTTGCCACCCTTACATCTGTTATATTTTGCCAGGGAAGAAAAAAATAGCACAGTGCAGAACTCAAACTTCGTATTAATAAAAATGCTTAGAAGAGTAATAACTGGGCATATTGATGTATGTATGTATAGGAAGAGAGGACCATAGTTCTATGACAGAGCATAGCATTGTATGCAGAAAGACTGAAGATCAATCTTTAGCATCTTCAGTTTAAAAAAAAGGGAATGCGACATGAAATCAGGTCATAGGAAAGACTTCTGCTTCGGTTTCTAGAAAGCCACTGTCAGTAAGAGTGGAAAATAGAGCCAGATGGTAAAATAATCTGACTGGGTATCCTCTGCATCCTGTGTTCTGTGGTAATTACTTCTGTTTTTTCTTTGATTTAGGGAAATTCCAAGAAGAACAAAAGTCGATAGTACTGCTCAGCCAACTGCCTTATGGATTATGCTGCTACCCAGAAACATGAATGCTGAAAATGGAATCTGTTTGGCAAATTGTTTCTTGACTGAACATGGCCATTTTGGAGGACTTACCCATATGTGCTTTGGTGTTGTGTATGGATGTGAGACAGCATTGAACTTAGTAGCCAGCATAATGCAAACCAAACATGGTGTGGTCAGTAAAGCAGACAGGGATAATACACACTCTGTGTATCACTTGCATAGGGATTAACCGTGAATTTTTACAGTATACTTTGTAACTACTATTAATTTCCATGTACAAACTTCAAAGTTTTTGTATATTTGAGTGCATATTTCAATGAACAGATCTGGTATCAATGCAGTAATTGTCTTTTCCTGGTAATACTGTCATTCCTGCTTGTCCATTCCTTTATGTGAGTAAAAAGGCACATACACAAACCCCAGAGCTGCTGTTACCTTTCAGCAGTGTCTACCTGTGCAGTTACTGTAAAATATACAAGTGATCCTGGTATTCTTTTCTTCTAGACTAGCTTAGAAGATTTCCTGGGAGAAGCAGTCTCAGTATGTTCATACTAAAGCATTCAGTGCAGCTGTGACTAATGCAAATTTAAATGCTCATTGCGGTTAATATAAAAGTGTACAGTAGTGGTTTTTTGAAATGAAGTGCAAAATCTGGGCCAAAGAAGGAGTTCATGTAAAATTGTGCAGAAGAGTGCCATTTTGTCCATGTTTGTGTGTGGCGTTACTTTCCATGCAATCTATTGATAGAAAAATAGCTTGCAACAGCTGGAATACAATATGAACAGAGCAAATACTGACAAGGGACTATTTCAGAAAAACCTTTTACTTGCTAGGAGCAGGACAGTATGTGTGAACAGTCACTGGTTTCAGACTAAGCCTGATATATGAGAGCAGGCCAAGAAATCACTGTATTAGCACCAGAAGGGCTGGTTCAGATGTTGATGGGCCTGGAAATATGTCTGGATGGAACAGATGGGTGTGCAATGCTGAACTCTGGGATCCTGCCTCCTCCTCCTGTCTCAGTCTACACATACAGTTTGCCTAATTCAAGAAACACTGTCATTTCTCTCTTCAGGGTCATATCATGGAGTTTCATATATATGTTCACACAGATCCCACATCGCTTCCTCCATTGGCAAAATAGGAAACCCAGCAATGTGTCCTGATGCTTTGAATCTGAATTTGGCACTGTCTGAGTCTGATCCAGTCCTGTGTTGCTTGTCCTAGGTGACCTGGTCCCCCACAGATATCCTGGCTACAGTTTGCATAATCTACATTGGCTTTTCTGGTTGGGCATAATGGAGCTGTAGTTCAAAAAAACATGAAGGGCACCATATGGCATTTTGAAGTTTGCCCAACTGATGTCTTAAGGTTCTCTAATATATTCTTTTTCACATTTTCTTTGTGAGAAACATGTTTACACAAACCTGCAGACTTCTCAGTGAGGTATTCAGTAGATAGTCTCCACCGTTGATTCACAAGATGTTCCACTACTGAATATTTCACACTGAACTACTTTTGTTGCTCCATAAGGCATAATAGCTGTCCTACATGCAATGGTTCCTCCGCTGTATCAACCATGTCAATGTACATTATGAGTATAGAATAAATATGCTTACATGTTAAATCTTTCCTTCAGAGATTGTGTTTTTGCTGTTGTGTGTTTGCAGCATGCAACTTCACAGAAGATCTGGCTTTGAGCAAAACTGCTTTTGGACATGTCTGTCTCAAGATTCATTAGCCTTCAGGGTGTGTATCAGTATACAGAGTGTGGAACAATGATTATGCAACCTGGCTATCGATGGAATGGGGGGAATGTAGTAATTATGATTTTTTTAAATGATTGTTTGATTTGCCCATTATGTTGCCAGTTCCCAAAGTCTTCTGTTATCTTTGCTCAGAGTTCAAGATAGTGATGCTGTGGCTGAACTGGTGATGTGGAAAGAAAACATCTGGCAGAGGAGAATTCATGTAGAACATATGTATGGAGACAGATTTATTTAGTTTTGGACACAGGATTGATATTAGAAAAGGAAATGGTTCTGTTTTCTCTTTTCAGGGTTAGCTAAGGACATATTTATATGGCGGCTTTGAAGGGCAGTCCAGATGTGTCAGCTACACTCTTGCAGGCTGCTCCTCCCCTATTATTATCCATCCACACTCCAAGTGGCAATTACTATGATTTATAAAATTATACCCTCTGTCCAGCAGTCACTGGGGGGTGTGCAGGTGTGTGTGCACAATAATACTGATTTATTAACATTCATATATTGCCTTATTTTCTAAACAGCTATCAGATCCATAAAACCCAAACAGAAAAAAGAAACAAAAACATCCAAAATTGTATGATTGGCATTAAAATTAAAGATTGGCAAACGCACTAAATGTTTAAAGCCCAACTGCACAGACATTACTCTAAATCAGAAGAATGAAAGAATCCTTCTGACCTCTCTTGGGAGCTCCACAGCCTGGTCCTTCTACTGAAAAGATGCTGTCTTGAGTAGCTGTCAGCTCAGTCTCTCCTGCTAGCGGGACATATAGTGGGCCCTCTGATGATGATTGTAAGTTACAAACAGGTTAATTTAGAAGAAAAATTGGATGCACTGTGTCTGGAGGAAGTGACGCTGGTACAGTACTGCACTTGCCCTGAAAGAACAGTTAGGCAGCTTTATGAATGCTTCAGATGGGTTGCTAGACAACCAGATGACCTTGGCTTTGTCAGCTATGGCCATTCCTGGATAGAGGTCATGTGGCTAAAGGAGGGAATGGGAATCTCAGGCCTGGAGGCCAAATCTTAGGGTCCTGCCATGGCCCTCCAGAGTTACCCAGATGGCTCCACATTTCCCACCCCATCCACTAATCATTTGGTGGTTTCTCCCCATTCTATAAAACTGAAAGGCTTCTAAGACTTAATTACTGGCAATCAGAACTTTAAGCAACAATATACTGGGCTATTGGTTTTTGACTTCACTCTGGCCTTGCTACTACTTGAGAGTGGCTTTTGAAAACATTTCAAAATTGAATTTGGCCCTTGGGATGAAAGAGGTTCTCAGTCCTATGCTATAGTAATCAATGTTCATGGAAACTTTCTAGTTAGATGTTGGATCTGAAATTCACTTGAAAGCTTCTATAAGAGCAGAATCCATCTCTCAGAATTTAACTGATATAGCCAAGCTTCTTGATATCACTCCAATATTAGAAGGACCACAGTGGTTGCCTATTCATTTCTGGAGCCAGTTCAAGATGCTGGGAACTTTTAAATATCCAAATAGCATCAGAACCAGATAATATGAAAGGAGCTGCACATATCTTCCCATAGCAGCAGGTCTATGTTAAGATCTGCCCTGCCCCAGTACTATTCTTAAGTACTATGTGAACCCAAAAGAAAGTTTTCTTAGTGACAGTATCTGCCTTCTGGGATGCCCCTTCTAAAGAAGCATGCCTAGCCATTAAGAAGTGCTAAATAGAGGAAGAGGTGCTGAAGAGGGTATATTTATGTGGGGAGCCTCTTGCAGGATTGCTCCCTATTTTACTTAACAGCCTCAGATTTGTCCATTAGCCTTGGATGCTGTGCTTGTGGCTTTATTTTGGTCTCCTTTGGTATATGTATTTTTAAATACAACCCCGCTCCCCCTTTTTGTAGTGTTCATTATTGAAAGTGTTCACTGGATGAGGATATGTTGTTGGTCAGAAAGCTGAATAGTGAGACTAGTATTTGACCTTTACTTGAGGTAATGGTAAATGTCATTCTTTATTGATAAGTGATCAAAACGAGAGTGAAATTTCCAGAGGGCATTCTGTTGTCCTTGATATTGATCAGTGACAATTTCCTTCCATTCATTCACACATGTATTGATGTATACTTGATGATTGCCACTACAGTCCAATAGCCCTGCTCTTTCCACAATTCTTAAACTGTTTAAACTACAACACACAGATTGCAAACTATTTTAATATCACAAAGATCAAAGAATCTCAGCTCACTGGAAGTTGCCCTTTTGCCTTCATGAATTCCTCTTGCATATCATGTTTGGGACAAACTCTGAGCCCTAAATGCTTTCCTAATCCATTTGTTAGCATTATTCCCTCTTTTTATTCTGTTGAAAGTGTTTTTTGTCAATTGGAGGGCCCTGCAACTATTCAAGACTGTTTTGTACTGCCCTTATCTGGGCCAGGGAAGGCAAAGAGACTGAAAAATAGTGTGTTGTGCTTGGCATTGTTTTTCCTAGAACTCAGTTTGGAATTTGAGGCTGGAAATGAAAAACTCAGTGCTCTGCAAAACAGTTCGCCCTTGCAGATTTTCTTCTCATATTAACATAGAGCTGCTGCTTTCAGAGGTGTGGGTTGTGAATGCATGTGGGAGAACCCTTGATTGCTTGCATGAGTTCAGTTCAATTTGCTTTGCCAGTATTAAGGGGTAGGTTAATTATTTATTTTTATTTATTAAAACATTTCTATGCCGCCCCATTCGCTGAAGCCTCGGGGCGGCTCACAACATAATTAGACAAAGCTTAATTAATCAGTGGGGCATATTTTAACTGGTGAGATGACTAGTTAAGGGCACATAAGGGTAGCTTTCCCAGAATTTGCTGTCTCTGATATCTGAAAGGAGTAAGTATATTGTCATTGAATAATATGCAGATTTGTTTAGATATGATTGATTGGTCTAAATTCAGATCACTGGTCTATTAAAAATTCTGTTAACATTCTTAATTTAACAAAATTAGCAGTAGTTAAGACTGCAATATACAGGATGGGCCAAAAGTAGATATACTGTACTGATCAGGTCATGGAAGACCTCACACTGTGGACAAATTGAAGGAGTTAATCTCAGAAGCATTTATCGACATTAGTGCTAACTGGAATTTGTGTCACAGTGTCAGGGACAGGTTCCAGGAATGTTGCAATGCTGGAGGACATTTTGAGCAGCCAAGAAACAACATCAGTACTGTATACCTACTTTTGGCCCACCCTGAATAGGGCTTCCTTATTGGAAAAGCTGTTGTGAAAAGGGGTGCTTCTTGGTAAAAAAAAAAAAAAAAAGTGGTCTCGTTCAGTGTTTCTCAAATTGTGGTTCAGGATCTACCACTGGGTCTCAGCCAACCTCCAGAAGGGTCTCAGAACTGCAGATAGTTTATTATCTTTTTTCGTTAACCATCCTATGCTTTGGCTGTACCATGTACACTGCATGGGTCAGAATGGCATAATTAATCATCTGGGAATAAAGCTAAGAGGATAAGGAGGGAAGTGATTGTAAAGGCAATAGCAGGGAAACTGTTAGAGGTGTTTGTAGATACATCCCATGGGCACCATATTGAAAGCCAAGAAAATTTTTCTAAAATATAGAGACTAATAATGATAATTTGAGGACAGGACCTATGCTTTATTTGAGAAAAGCTGAATTATGGAATACTGAGCTATAAGGAAATAGCTGTGGCAAAGAATTTAGCTATTTTCAAAGGGAGATTAGATATCAATAAAAACATACCAGTAATTGTTAGCTGACTATATCAAATTCTGCATTTGGTTGCTATAATTTTGTGATTGGTGGGCACCAGTCATTTCTTCTCTCTCAAGCAAGTCCTGGGGGTAGAAGGGTTGAGAGCCTTTGGTCTAGCCAGTTGATGAAATGGATGTTCAGGATAACCAACGTTTTGCATAATCAATATCAATTTCAATTATTTAAGTGCCAGTCCTTATGTACCACAACAGTACGTTCTGTGCATAAGATGAAAGTATCAGCAGACGTAGGGAAGCCCCATGTTTTGCAGAATTGGAAAAAATAAATATTTTTTTGAAAACCTCAAAAACAGCACAGTGAAAACTGAATCTGCTTAGTGGCTACAGGATGCTGGGTGTTTCCTGCATCCTGGGGATGCAGAAAACAGGGTTGGAGTAGGACTGGAATGGGGTAACCCAAACAGGATTTACATTTACATTGTTATGGTGAACTTGAAGAATCTTGTGCTTTGACTTGGGCAGCTGAGGTTGTTAGACTGGAACATTTGAATTATGTATGTGCATTTTTTCTCTCTCCTGTCTTTTGTTCACTCTGTTTTGGTTCCAGAATTTAGGGACATCATGTGATTAAAGCTTTATCCCCATTTGTTAATTAAATTTATATCCCACCATTTATTTATTTATTTAGAAAATTTCTATGCCGCCCCATTTGCCAAAGCTTCGGGGCAGCTCACAACATAAATCAATTAAAATAATATAAATTAACAATATAAAATAAGTTAACAATATAAAATAAGTCGCCCTGGCGAACCATGGAACTCAAGGCAGTTTACATAATTCTCCTTCTCTCAATCTTATCCTCACAACAACCACCTTGAGAGTCTGTGACCGGCCCAATCACCCAGTTAGCTCCAGGGCTGAGTGGGGACTAGAACCCAGCTTCCCTGAGTTCTAGTTCCGCACTTATAACCACTATACCACACTAGCCCTTGATAATCCAGGCTGTTTTGCAAGACCATAAGGGCATTTGTGGCTGAGAGAAGCAGCACTCCATCTTTATCTAAGTGTGTAGGAGGAGAACATTCTTCAATCTCAAGGAATCTTGTGCAGGGTGAAATACTTGTGTCTAAGGAAATGTCATTGCAGCATTTGCTTCCAAGAAGCAGC